GTTGTCCACGTGCTTCTTGTGGATTTCAATGGCTTTTCTGTGTAGTCTGACATAGTGGTTGAGAATGTTATCAATAACTTTTCAGAAACTTTATTGCAATTTTCCAGTAAGAGTATCAGAATTTTACACAAATAACAACACTGGACATACAGATTTTATGTAACTAATAATACTCCAGATCCCCCAGCTATTTCGTGTTAGCTTCCTAGCTCTTTTACTTTGTTCTGAGAGAGCTTCTGTTTACAAAAGTGTTTATGTCCTGTCCTTAAGTGTTGTAACATCTCCAGGTTATATAACGATATATATATCGATATTATCTTAGATGTTGGAATAGAAACAAGTTGGAGATTTATACTTACTTACTTACTTAGGCGATCCCTCATAGTCTGAAGATGATGGTCCCCCAAGAGCGATGTCCTGGTGGTGGGTCCGTAGGTGGCCGTGGAGCCCTATTCTTGACCTGCATGTTCTCCTCAGTGAGGGCATTGGTTTCCAGGTGGAAGGTGGTCCCGGTCGGGGTTGACTTGATGCGCATTCCTCTTGGTACGTTTCTCTCTTTCGCCCTCCATTTGTGCCTCTTCAAATTCTACATCACTGCTGGTCACAGCTGACCTCCAGCTGGAGCGCTCAAGGGCCAGGGCTTCCCAGTTCTTGGTGTCTATGCCATAGTTTTTAAGGTTGGCTTTGAGCCCATATTTCAGTCTCTTTTCCTGCCCACCAACATTCTGTTTTCTGTTCTTGAGTTCGGAGTAGAACAACTGTTTAGGGAGACGGTGGTTGGGCATCCGGACAACGTGGCCAGTCCAGTGGAGTTGATGGTGGAGGATCATCGCTTCAGTGCTAGTGACCTTTACTTCTTCCAGCATGCTGACGTTTGTCCACCTGTCTTCCCAAGAGATTTGCAGGATTTTTTGGAGGCAATGCTGATGGAATCGTTCCAGGAGTGGCATGTGATGTCTGTAGATAGTCCGTCTTGCAGGCATATAGCAGGGTTGGTCGGACAATAGTTTTATAAATAAGCACCTTGGATATCCCTACGGATGTCCCGGTCCTCAAACACTCTCTGCTTCATTCAGAAAAATGCTGCACTCGCAGAGCTCAGGCATTGTTGTATTTCAGTGTCAATATTGACTTCTGTGGAGAGGTGGCTGCCACAGCAGAGTTGGGGGGACAACGGCTTTATAAACAAGCCCCTTAGTCTCCCTACGGATGCCCCAATCCTCAAACACTCTGTGCTTCATTCGGAAAAATGCTGCTCTCACAGAGCTCAGGCGGTGTTGTATTTCATTGTCATTATTGACTTCTGTGGAGAGGTGGCTGCCACAGCAGAGTTGGGAGCATAATGGCTTTATAAACGAGCCCCTTAGTCTCCCTATGGATGCCCCAATCCTCAAACACTCTGTGCTTCATTCGGAAGAATGCTGCACTTGCAGAGCTCAGGCGGAGATTTAGAACTATGTCTTGAAAACCCTAATATCACAAACAAACATCAGTTTGGAAAAAACGCCGTGCAGATAATGTACATATCTTTGCTTATTTGTTTTCTAGTTGCATTTCAGTGGCCTTCCCAAAGTGTCGTGTTATTTTACTCCAGTGTTACGTTGCACAAAGAATGGATTTGGAGTTGGAGCTTAAAAGTTTTTTTAAATTAATTATTTGGTGTTGGGGTATAGTGATCATTTGGCATAGGTGAATTCTTGGTCTGTGTAAACAAGCTAGCGACATGGATCAGAGAAAGGGGGTAGTTTTCCGGGAATGCAGTTCAAGGCAATGGGGAGAACCTTGCGCCGTTTCTAATTATAGTGCTCCATCTGAGCAGAGGAATCAACACCATACCAGTGATGTATATCGGCTTCCAAGAAAGTGTCCTTTGGGAACTTCTTGAGAAAAGAATTGAAGTGCAGGTGGGAAATTGCTAGAATATGAAGTTTGCTGACTTATCCTTGATGGCAAAGAGTGTCAAGTTTTCTTCCACTGTAATTTCAAAGGAAAGTGTCAAAGTGCCATAAGTACCTTTGGAATGGGCCTGGTGAGTTGTAGCACATGATTGGGAAGAACGCCACTTTCCAGGGATCATTGGCAGCATGATCAGTGCTGAAAGATGCTGGGAGTTGTAGTCTGACAATATTTGAGTGGCTTACCTCCCTGTATTGTGGGAATTGGGCCCAGTCTATCGGGAATATTGGACTGAAAGTGTCGGAATCACAGACGCCTTAATGGGCCAGGCTCAGCGTTAGTTCTAACACAGAGTTTATTGAAGTAAAGGAAAAAGACTTAGAGACACTTAACTCAATGTCTCTGGTCAAAACTCAAAGGTCCTGGTTCAAAAGGTAAACAAAAGTATAATCTGGATTAACTGGACAAAAGAACCGAATCAAACATAGTACTCCAAAGTCACAAAAAGAAGGCACAGCATGCAAATGGTAAACAAAAGCAGTGAAGCCTCAGGGAAGAAAGCGTAGTCAAGCGAAGTCCAGGGGTGTAGCAAGAGAAATCCGAAGTAGCAAAGTTCCAAAGTCCACCGAAGCAGCATCGTAGTCACGCCGGTCCAAGGTCAAGGAAGGGGGAAATCCACACTCACGAGAATCCAATCCGAGTCGAAAGCACACACGAACAGGAGCAGCAACCTGCAGATCCCAAACCCAATGCCGAACACAAAACAGGCAGCGACAAGTCCAGACAGTACTCAGTGCACGAACGTATACCAACACCTTGCCTTCTGCAAAGATCCCCCAGTCCTGAACCCACTTTTATTACACATCATCATCATCAGAAGATGAGCTGACCACCGCCCCATGATTATCCCTTGCAGCTGCTCCCAACTCTTCACGTGAAGTCCTAGGCCCATCCCTCCATCTTCTCCATCTCCTGTCAAGACTTAGATTCCCCCCAAGACTCAGTTGTATTCCCCAATTGCTAGTCTTCACTTCCAGAGAATCCCATAAATGTATCACTAGATGTTGGCTCTGCATAAATAGCTTGTACGTCCTTTACCTTAGTCCAGTCCACAGTGTCATCCCTGTTTTCCCCATTCTGTGACCCATCATCCCCAGAGAAATCCTGAAATGAGATGCCATAAGTATATCCCGGATCCTCTTCCTTTGTCGCTCCTCATCCGATTCCTGCTCCCRAGTAACCCTCTTTCTTCCTCTATTCCCATCCATTGTGTCTCCCTCCTCTCCTTCACTCATTGACCCTTCATCCCCAGAKAACCCCTCAAATGAGTCCTCATCTGTAGGTGCCATAAGTATWTTCCAATTTTTTGAAACACACTTCTTGGCGCCTCRATACGAGGGATATCCGGAAAGTAAGGTTGTAAGATTTTTTAGGTATTACATTATTTTTCCACATAATMACCATTCAGTTCAGTTCATTTTGTCCTCTCCATAAACTGAAACAGCATTCATGCCCTTAGCATTTAGATCAGGGGTCCTGAAACTATGGCCAGGGTCAACCTAAGTCTGAAACGGCTTGAAAGCACACAACAACAACAACAATCCTATCTCATCACCCAAAAGCAGGCCCATACTTCCCACTGAAATACTAATAAGTTTATACTTGTTAAAATTGTACTTCATTTTAATTATTGTATTGTTTTTAAGTATGCATAGGAATTCATTCATGTTTTTTTCAAATTATAATCCGGCCCTCCAACACTTTGAGGGACTGTGACCTGGCCCTCTGCTTTAAAAGTTTGTGGATCCCTGATTTAGATAGCACATTACAGCGCGGACTTCGCACTTGGAGGGAAACGGAATGAGGACGCTCATCTCTAGCCGTCACCACAATGCCAGTCGATGAGCTACTGACGACTGGCACTGCTCGTTTGCTTCCGCTGCCTTACCGCTACACGGCAGTGATACCAGTTTCCCCTGTGAAAATTCGCCGTGAGAGCTATGTGCCTTGTGACCTTACTTTCTGGATATCCCTCGTACCACCAAAACTTTGCACTTGGAGGGAAATGGAATGAGGACACTCATCTCTAACCTTCACCACAACACCAGTTGATGAGCTACTGACGACTGATACTGCTCGTTCGCTTCTGGAGCCTCAGGCAGAAGATCATGAAGATGTTCCTGTTGTTTTTGAAGAAGAATCTAAGGAGATTCAGTTTCCCATGGCAAGGAATGTTTCAGATTATGCTTCTGATGTTAGTGAAACTAGCCAGGTTCAGATTGAGGAGGATGGCTCGCAGCCTGACAATTCTCAGGCGGCTAACGAGCTATCCAACCTTGAGAGCGCTGAAGATCTAGATAGGGAGGATCGCTTACAATTCAAAGTTCGCTGCAGTGTAAGGCTTGCTAACAAGAGGGAGGTTAGGGGTCAACGGAATGCGTTCATACTGGGAAAGTCTATTAAACGGGTGTTTGAAGGCAAATCTTTGTCAGTGCAACTTCTGTGAACAACCTGGTAACTTCTTTGGATTGTCTTGGCTTTTGGGCCATGTTCTTGGCTTCCCGGGGCCCTGTCATGATGTCATGGAATCTTGTTTGGTCAATGTTCTTTGGATTATGCTTCATGCTGTTTGCTATTGAACTTTTGAAACTTTACTTTTGCATTTAAGACTTTTCTTTTTTTCAATAAACTACAAAACCTTCAGCCTTTGTGTGGTTTGGGGTTTTGAGCAAGGTGACTCTACTCTGAGCTGCGACAGCAGTGATATCAATTTCTCCTGCGAAAATTCTCCACAAGAGAACTTTACCTTCTGGATAATCCTCTTACATTGTGGTAAACCCTCCAAATATCATCAGAGTACAGCCTCCCAGCATCTGGTGTTAGAGTTAGATTACTACTGGAGGAGTGAGAACAAGTTGAGTGCAGTTACTGACTTTTTAGTAAGTGTTTTTAATTTGTTCCATTTTACAAGTAGTCACCCTGAATTTTTGTGTTTGACTTGGATTGATACCTTATTATTGCTTTGCTTCTCCTGATCTGGTGCAGGTCCTAAAATTCACAGAACCGACGAGTTTGACTCCTGGGTTTGTTTGGTTGTTTCACAGATCCGGCGACGGCGCCTTGCCCGGCTCGCTGGCGGGCCGTCTTCCCAGCCCACCACCCCGCTGACGTCTCCACAGAGAGAAAACCCGCCAGGGCCACCGGTAGCCGCCCCGTCCCCTGCGGCGCCCCAGAGCCTTGGGCTGAATGTCCACCCCATGACCCCCGCTACCTCGCCCATCGGTGCATCAGGTACGGAAAGAAATCAACTGTAGAAATGTAATAAAGGTTTATAACAGGACTAGAAAAATCCCAGATAAATGCTTCTTGAATGAATATACTGATTGTCTTCTCTTGAGCATGGAGTAGCATTTATACACATTTATGTTTATTTAAAATTAGTGTATATACAGTGTTCCCTGACTTATCGCGGGTGTTCTGTTCCAGGACCACCTGTGCTAAGTGAAAATCCGCAAAGTAGGGATGCTATATTWTATATATATATATATRTAYAYAYAYAYAYAYAYRYAYGTATGTATGTATGTATGTATGTAYGYAYRYAYGYATACACACRCACACACRCACACACACATATACTAGCTGTACCCGCCACACGTTGCTGTGGCAAACCTTCCCTCCCTCTTTCTCCTCCTTTCTTTAACTCCTTCCTTSYCTCYCTCTTTCCTTCCTTCCTTCCTTCCCTCCTTTTCTTTCTCTTTTYCTTTCTTCCTTCTCTACCTGTTTCTTTTCTCAATTCCTTTGCTCTTTGGTTCCATCCTTCCTTGTCTCTCTCTTCCTTCCTTCCTTCCTTCCCTCTTTCTCTTTCGTTCCTTCTCTCCTTCCTTCCTTCTCTTCCTTCCTTTCTTTCCTTCTCCCCTTCCCTCCTTCTTTCCCTTTTCTCTCCCTCCTTCTCTCCTTCCTTCTCTATCTTTCTTTCCTTCCTTCTCTCCTTCCCTCCTTCTTTCTCTCCCTCCTCTCCCACCTTCTCTCCTTCCTTCCTTCTCTACCCTTCTTTCTTTCCTTCTTTCTCTCCTTCCCTCCTTCTTTCCCTCTTTCTCTCCCACCTTCTCTCCTTCCTTCTCTACCCTTCTTTCCTTCCTTCTTTCTCTCCTTCCCTCCTTCTTTCCCTCTTTCTTTCCCTCTTTCTCTCCCTCYTTCTCTCCTTCCTTCCTTCTCTGTATTGTACATAAATATTTTATATTTATACTGGTGGTCCCCTGCCACGCGTTGCTGTGGCTCAGTCTGGTGATCTGGAAAATAAAGTAATGAGAAAGGGTTGGTTTCTAATATATAAGTGGGCAGAGGCAAAATAAACACTGTCTTTCCCAAAGGTGTCCCCCACCGAAGCCAGAGCAGCGAAGGCGTCAGTTCTCTCAGTAGTTCTCCATCAAACAGCCTCGAAACACAGTCTCAGTCCCTCTCCCGGTCGCAAAGCATGGACATTGACAGCGTATCTTGCGAGAAAAGGTAAATGGGGCGTTCTCTGGTCTCTGGTTCAAAGTAAGTGGTAAACAGACAGTGGTATGTTGTGAATACATGTTTGGACTTTTGATCCTGGGTATAACTTGATGAGCAGAGGGATAAATTTATATATCTCCATTATTATTATTATTGTTATATTATATAATAATATTATTATTATATATTTTATTATACTAATTTATTATGATCTGGAAAATAAAATAATTAGAAAGTGTTGGTTTCTAATATATGTAAACGAAGATTACATTTAGATTATATATCATATAGATTATATATTTTATTATACTATATTGTGTTATATTATAATATTATATTATATTAGCCATTCCCTGCCATGTGTTGCTGTGGCCCAGTCTGGTGATCTGGAAAATAAAATAATGAGAAAGTGTTGGTTTCTAATATATGTAATTTCTTTATGCTTGTGGGTAAACAGTATTTCTGACTGCTTTTTTGTCAGTTGATGTGGAAATTGTCTGGTTTGCCTATTCTGGAACATGCAACATATCATTGTCCTTCTTTAGGGGTCCCTTTCAAACCTATATCTCTCTGTGTGTGAATCTTATCTATCTATCTACCTATATCTATGGCTGGATGGCTCTTTGTCAGGAGGGCTTTGATTATGTTTTCTTTCCCTGGTGAAGGGACTTGGGCTTAATGGCCTTAAGTATTTTCTGTTGGTCATGAGGGTTCTGTGTAGGAAGTTTGCCCCAATTTTGTCATTTGTGGGGTTCAGAATGCTCTTTAATTATAGGTGAACTATAAATCCCAGTAACTACAACTCCCAAATGGAAAGGTCTATTTCCCCCAAACTTCATCTGCGTTCATATTTGGGCGTATGAATATTTGTGCCAAGTTTGGCCCAGATCCATCATTGTTTGAGTCCACAGTGCTATCTGGATGTAGGTGAACTACAACTCCCAAACTCAAGGTCAATGCCCACCAAACCCTTCTCGTGTTTTCTGTTCGTCATGGGTGACCTGTGTGCCACGTTTGGTTAAGTTACATCATTGAGGGAGTTCAGAATTCTCTTTGATTGTAGGTGAAGTATACATCCCAGCAACAACAACTCCCAAATGACAAAATCAATTTTTTTGAGGGAAGGACATACATTGGGTTGTTAGGTGTCTTGTGTCCAAATTTGGTGTCAAATCGTTCAGTGGTTTTTGAGTTCTGTTAATCCCACAAACGAACATTACATTTTTATTTATATAGATTATTTTATATTATACTATATTATATTATATTATTATATGTTATGTTATTATATGTTATTATTATTATATCCGTTATATCTCCATTATTATTATTATTATTATTATTATTATTATTATTATTATTTCTTTAAGACTAATGGTCTATTTAGTCTGTATTTATGATGCATTTTTAAATGAAGAGATTTCAGAAAGTTAGCAATATGTGTAAGCCAACCCCTTGTGTCCAGTGTCCAGAGATTCTCTATCCTATCTTTTACAGTATGTCCCAGGTGGATGTAGATTCGGGAATTGAAAACATGGAGGTCGATGAGAATGACCGAAGAGAGAAACGGAGCCTTACTGACAAGGTGAGTGCAACACATTAGAATATGTATATGGTAGGAGGAGTGTTAAATTATACTGACCAAAGTGTGTTTGTATAGATTTATTTATACACTAGCCATTGCCTGCCAGGCGTTGCTGTGGCCCAGTTTGGGGATCTGGAAAGTAAACGAATGAGAAAGTGTTTGTTTCTGATATATGTAATTTCTTAATGCTTGTGGGTAAACATTTCTTGTTGTTTCTTTGTCAGTGTTGATGTGGAAATTGTCTATTCTCCTTACTCTGGAATATACAACATATAATTGTCCTTTTTTAGGGGTCCCTTTCAAATCTGTGATACTATATGTGTGTCTATATCTATGGCTGGATGGCTCTTTGTCAGGAGGGCTTTGATTATGTTTTTTTGCCCTGGTGTTAAGAATGGAGTTTGACTGGATGGCCTTCAGGCAGCATTTCTCAACCTGGGGATCAGGACCCCTGGGGAGGGGTCATGAGGGGGTGTCAGAAGGATCACCAAAGACCACCGGAAAACACAGTATTTTCTGTTGATCATGAGGGTTCTGTGTGGGAAGTTTGGCCCAATTCTATTGTTCCAAATTCTCTTTGGTTGTAGGTGAACTATAAATCCCAGCAACTACAGCTCCCAAATGTCAAGGTCTGTTTTCCCCAAAATCCATCTGTGCTCATCTTTGGACATATGGAGTATTCATGCCAAATTTGGTCTAGATCAGGAGTCCTCAAACCAAGGCCCGAGGGCCAGATACGGCCCTCCAAGGTCATTTACTTGGCCCTCGCTCAAGGTCAACCTAAGTTTGAAACTATGTTTTACTATTTCAATGGGAAGTGTGGGCCTGCTTTTGGCTGATGAGATTGTTGCTGTTGTTGTGTGCACACAACAACAGCAACAATCTCATCAGCCAAAAGCAGGCCCACACTTCCCATTGAAATAGTAAAATGTTTACATTTGTTAAGATTGTTCTTCATTTTAATTATTGTATTGTTTTTAATTTTTGTAATTTTTTTTGCACTACAAATAAGATATGTGCAGTGTGCATAGGAATTCATTCATGTTTTTTTTTTCAAATTCTAATCTGGCCCTCCAACAGTTTGAGCGACTGTGACCTGGCCCTCTGCTTACAAAGTTTGTGGATCCCTGGTCTAGATCATTGGTAGGTTTCAAGGGGCTCTTTGATTGTAGTTGAACTATAAATCCCAGAAACTACAACTCCCAGATGGAGTTTGAGGGACTGTGACCTGGCCCTCCATTTAAAAAGTTTGAGGACCCCTGGTCTAGATCATAAGGTTCAAGGGGCTCTTTGATTGTAGTTGAACTATAAATCCCAGAAACCTCAACTCCCAAATGTAAAGGTATATTCCCCCGAAACTCTATCTGTGCTCATATTTGATTATATGGAGTATTCATGCCAAGTTTGGTCTAGATCTATCATTATTTGAGTCCACAGTGCTCTCTGGATGTAGGTGAACTACATCTCCCTAACTCAAGAACAATGCCCACCAAACCCTTCCAGTATTTTCTGTTGGTCATGGGAGTCCTGTGTGCCAAGTCTGGTTTAGTTCCATCGTTGGTGGAGTTCAGAATGCTCCTTGATTGTAGGTGAACTATAAATCCCAGCAACTACAACTCCCAAATGACAACATCTTTTTTTTAGTGATGGTCACACATTGGGTGCCTTGTGGCCAAATTTGGCGGCAATTTGTCCAGCGGACTTTTGAGTTATGATGTCACTCAAAATGAGCAGAACATTTTAATATATATAGATTTGACCTGTTGATATATTTTTTGAAGTGCATAGGGTTTTTGTTGTGCCTTAGTTTCCCCCCAAAACACACCGTCAGTCTTGTAAACACACATTTCCAAGGCAAGATGCTAATATTGGGAACTGTAAAGTGAACAATTTAGTAGTTTGAAGAGGAAAAACATTTTGGTCCCATCTCGAGCTCAATGCCACTGAATCCTTTCCCTCTACGTTACCCTGTGTTAAAGGAACCTCCTTCGGGATCCGAAATCTCAGAGGAACAAGCCTTACAGCTCGTCTGCAAGATCTTCCGGGTCTCGTGGAAGGACCGGGACAGAGACGTCATTTTCCTCACTTCGCTTTCGGAGCAGTTTAAGCAGAACCCGAAAGATGGTAAGCGACCCATGCACTTCCCCCAATGGGCTTTGAAAGTGAGCTGAATATAGAAAAAAGAGCATTGACAGAGCAACCATAGGCCCTTATTCTGGAACTCTTCAGGCCACTGTGTCATGAATCGTTTTTGAACCTAAAAAATGTAGTTTCACTCATTTTCAGTTCGACAGATTGCATCAGGCACTTTCAGAGAAAGAAATAGACACACACACCCAGTATTGGTTTATAATAGCTACTAGATTGAGGACCCAACATTGCCCAGGTTATTTTTAAAAAGTCAATTTTGTAATTGTTCAAAATGGCTAAGGTTGTGGGTGAACTACACCTCCCATCATGCCAGGTTAACGCCGAGAAACTCCATCAGTATTTAAAGTTTGTTATGTTGGGAACGTTCTCTCTAGATGCATCATAGGTGGAGTTCAGTGTGCTCTCTGGCTGCAGGGTAAACTACAACTCCCACTAGGGTGAGTCAATCCCCTCAAACCCCTTCAGTAGGTTGAGTGAGTCATGAGGAGCCTGTGCACCAAGTTTGGTCCAGGTCCATCATTGGTGGAAGTTACGATTTCTCTGGTTGTGGGTGAACTACAACTCCCAGAAAGGAAGCTCACTCAAAGATGTTCATCTAGTTGTAGGGTAAACTACGACTCCCACCAAACCGTTCCAGTAGGTTGAATTAGTCATGGGGGTTCTGTATGCCAAGTTAGGTCCAGGTCTATCATCGGTGGAGGTCATGGTTTCTCTGGTTGTGGGTGAACTACAATTCCCAGAAAGGAAGGTCAGTTTCCCCTAAACCTCTCCAGTAATCAAATTTCAGTATATCAGGTATGTGTGCCAAGTTTGGTCCAGATCCATCGATGTTTGGGTTCACAGTGCTCTCTGGATGTAGGTGAACTACAACTCCCCAAATCAAGGTGAATTTCCCCAAATACTTCCAGTATCTTTTGCTGGCTCATTGTCCCAAGTTTGGTCCAATTCCGTCTTTGGTGGAGTTCAAAGTGCTCATTAATTGCAGGTGAACTATAAATCCCAGTACCTACAACTCCAAAATGCCCAGGCCAATTCCCCTTAAAAACCCGCCAGTATCCAAATTTGGGCATATCAGGTGTGCATGCCAAGTTTGGTCCAGACCCATCGTTGTTTGGATTCATAGTGTTCTCTGGATGTAGGTGAACTACAACTCCTCTAAATCCCTCCAAAGACCTCCAGTATGTTTTGTTGGTCATGGGTCTTCTGTGTGCCAAGTTAGTTCCAGGTCCATTGTTGGTGGAGGTCAGAGTGCTCTTAGGTAGCAGGTGAACTATACATCCCAGGTCCTACAACTCCTCTAAATCATGGTGAATTCCCTAGTATGTTCAGTTGCTGATCAATTCCTCTGTTTCCTGTGTACCATAGAAAAGTATAGGAAAGGGTTAAGGGAGAGGCCTACGACAACATTGATGTGGGGGATTATAGTTCATACTGGATTGTTGTAGGTTTTTCGGGCTATATGGCCATGTTCTAGAAGCATTCTCTCCTGACGTTTTGCCTGCATCTATGGCAGGCATCCTCAGAGGTTGTGAGGTCTCACTGTAAGACTGTAGGATCTATATAGCAATATTAAATGACCGCTCACAAGCCGGTTCTGCTTTGAAATGGATATATTGCTTGTATCTCTGCAGCAAAGAAAGACACTACTGACTTTTGTCTTCATGCCATCAGAAATTGACTCCTGACACTCATGCGCTTTCTTTCTCTGTCTCTCTGCAAGTTTTTTCGGACTTCAAAGATCTGATCGGACAGATCCTGATGGAAGTTCTGATGATGTCGACCCATGCGAGGGAAGAAAACCCTTTTGCCAGCTTGACTGCCACGTCACAGCCCATCGCGGCTGCGGCCCGGTCGCCCGATAGAAGCCTGGTTCTCAACATGGGCTCCAATCCGGGCACGAGCCCCATCTTCTGCAACGTGGGCTCCTTCGGCTCCAGCTCCTTGTCAAGGTGAGTTAACACTGTTAAAACAATGCGATAAGACATTATTAAAATACTGATGTAATAATAATAGAGCAAAATAATGGAAATATAATAATAACAGTAATAATAATGTAAAATAATAAATGTAATCATAACCATAATAAGGAGAGTAAAATAATAAATGTATTCATAACCATAATAGAGTAAAATAATAAATGTAATAATAAAATAATAAAAGTAAAAAATGTAATAATAATAGAGTAAAATAATACATGTAATAAAAAATAGTAACAGAGTAAAATAATAAATAAACTTGACGGAGTATAAGCTGAAGGGGACTTTTTCAGATACATGACGAAGAAGATGATAATAATGATAATAATAATGCAACATGTTGTTTTGGTATTCTGATGTGGACGTAAAATATTAAGTCAGTTAACACTGTATAGAGAAAAATTATGGCTGAGGTTCTGCAGGCACAACCGGTTTCGATCCTTGGTCTTCCTCAGGTGAATTTATCTGAGAATATTATAATGAATTAACAGGAGCATCTAACATAAATACAGTGCTAAATCTGCTATACTATATATACTGGAGTATAAGCCTAGTTTTACAGTCCTTTTTTAGGCTGAAAAGGTCCCCTTCAGCTTATACTCCATCAAGGTTATTTATTATTTTACTCTGTTATTATTATTTTTTATTACATTTATTATTTTACTCTATTATTATTATGATGACATTTTTAAACTTTATTATTGTTATGATTATATTTATTATTTTACTCGATTATGGTTATGATTACATTTATTATTTTACACTGTTATTACTGTTATTATAACATTTTCATTATTTTACTCTATTATTATTACATTTATTATTTTATTGTTATTATTACATTAATTATGTTACATTAACTTTTTATTTCTGTAGAAGATTGACCAGTGCATATCGTTGTACTTGTGGGCATATATTATTTTACTCTATTATGGTTATGATTACATTTATTATTTTACACTATTATTACTGTTATTATTACATGTCCATTATTTTACTCTATTATTATTACATTTATTATTTTATATTATTGTTATTATTACATTAATTATGTTACATTAACTTTTTATTTCTATAGAAGATTGACCAGTACATATTGCTGTACTTGTGGGCATATATTATTTTACTCTCTTTATTATGGTTACGATTACATTTATTATTTTACACTATTATTACTGTTATTATTACATTTCCATTATTTCACTCTATTGTTATTATATTTATTTTTTTACTCTATTATGGTTATGAATACATTTATTATTTTACACTATTATTACTGTTATTATTACATGTCCATTCTTTTACTCTATTATTATTACATTTATTATTTTATATTATTGTTGTTATTATTATTACATTAATTATGATACATTACCTTTTTATTTCTATAGAAGATTGACCAGTGCATATTGCTGTACTTGTGGGCATATATTATTTTACACTCGTTATTATGGTTACAATTACATTTATTATTTTACACTATTATTACGGTTATTATTACATTTCCATTATTTCACTCTATTATTATTATATTTATTATTTTACTCTATTATGGTTATGATTACATTTATTATTTTACACTATTATTACTGTTACTATTACATTTCCATTATTTTACTCTATTATTATTGCATTTATTATTTTATATTATTATTATTATTAATACATTAATTATGTTACATTACCTTTTTATTTCTATAGAAGATTGTTCTACTTGTGGGCATATATTATTTTACTCTCTTTATTATGGTTATGAATACATTTATTATTTTACACTATGATTACTGTTATTATTACATTTCCAATATTTTACTCTATTATTATTATTACATTTATTATTTTATGTTATTGTTATTATTACATTAATTATGTTACATTACCTTTTTATTTCTATAGAAGATTGACCAGTGCATATTGCTGTACTTGTGGGCATATATTATTTTACTCTCTTTATTATGGTTATGAATACATTTATTATTTTACACTATTATTATTGTTATTATTACATTTATTATTTTATATTATTGTTGTTATTATTACATTAATTATGATACATTATGGTTATGGTTACATTTATTATTTTACACTATTATTACTGTTATTATTACCTTTCCATTATTTTACTCTATTATTATTATTATTATTATTATTATTACATTTATTATTTTATATTATTGTTATTATTACATTAATTATGTAATATTACCTTTTTATTTATATAGAAGATTGACCAGTGCATATCGTTATACTTGTGGGCATATATTAGTTTGGTGTATAATCAGGAACCCATTTACTTAATATGAGCTTCGGTATGGTCATGAAGAGGAAATCTCGCATCACCGCCTCTGTGTTTACATCTTTGCTGATTCTCCTTTCTCTCTTTTTCTTCTTCCCCCCAAACTTCTCAGTCTCTACGCAACTAGTCCTGCTCCTGTTTTCATTTCCCCGAGCCCCGTGCCCCCTTCGGCTGGCTCCTGTCTCACGGTTCCCGCCAGCCCTGCCTCGGTTTCCCCTCTTTCGACTGGGCCTCACCTCACTCCGAGCGCCCAGCCCTCCTCCCCCAGGTACCGCCCCTACACCGTGGCTCATCCCGCGGCCTTTCCGGCTCCTCCTCCGGCCGCGGTGGCAAGCACTTCCATGCTCTCCCGCTCCCCAACTCCTCCTGTCGTAAGCCCTCCAGGATTGCTAGCCACTTCCCCTCGGATGAGGCCGGTCCCTATGGCTCTGCCTCTTTTCACCGCTCTGGGCAGGCGCTCGTCCCTCCTGAGCAGGACGCCGTCTAGGTATTGTGAAGCCTTTGTGGTCTTAACGTGTGCTGTGACTTGAGCGTGTTGCAAAAACGTTGGTGGAACTAACTCCCGCTTTAATCAGGTATTCTTTGCGGTGGTGATTCCGATTAATATACTGACTTGCAGATGAGGCCTGCTGAATGAGCATTCTGGTTTTTTGTGGGGATGTCAGGGAAAAAATTCCGTATTTCTTCATTTGTAAGACGCCGTCGATTCCAAGATGCTCCCTAATTTCAGTACCACTACTACCACCAAAAATACAAGAGATACATCTAAGATGCGCCCCATTTTTAAAGGTGTTTATATAGGGCAGTGTTTCTCAACCTTCCTAATGCCGCGACCCCTTAATATTAAATAAATATTAAAGAGGTATTGAACTGCGGTAATTTCATAACATACGTACACCTTTGCTTTACATTCTACAGTGTAGATGCACCTATAGTAGGGGTCCTCAAACTAAGGCCTGGGGGCCGGATATGGCCCTCCAAGGTCATTTACCCAGCCCTCGCTCAGGGTCAACCTAAGTCCAAAACGGCTTGAAAGCACACAACAACAACAACAACAACAATCCTATCTCATCAGCTAAAAGCAGGCCTACACTTCCCATTGAAATACTAATAAGTTTATATTTGTTAAAATTGTTCTTCATTGTAATTATTGTATTGTTTGAAGTGTTTTTTGCACTACAAATAAGATATGTGCAGCATGCATATGAATTCATTCATGTTATTTTCAGATGATAATTTGGCCCTCCAACAGTTTGAGGGACTGTGACCTGGCCCTCTGTTTAAAAAGTTTGCGGACCCCTGACCTATAGTCATAAGCTTTGGTGTGGCACTTTTCTTTTGTTGCTCCACCCAGCAGGGTGACTTGGTCAAATAAACCTACTGAACGATCTCCTCACTCCTAGTGTTCAATTGGATAGAGGCAATCCGATTAGATTGTGTGATATGTGATGTTATTTTATGTGATGTGTTTAATAATGTTTAATGTTTTATCAGGGTAGTGTTGCACTCCAGGTCAGGAAAAAGTCCTCTGACTTTAAAACACACCACACGAAGAGTGAAGAAACAATTTTTCTTTTATTGAAGTTTAGTAAATAGCCAGAAGAAATAAATGCTTGTAAGAAAATAAGAAAGTTCCCAAAAGTATTACGTCCATAAAAGGTAGTAACTCAAAGCAATGTCCACACCAGATATAAAAGCAATCCAAGACAGCATTAATCCAGACAGGAATCAACAGGATGCAAAGACAATCCAAAAGGCTAAAAAACTCCACAGGAACAAGACCCCTTGAACAGGATTTCCATGGCACATGAACTTGGTTTCCAAACAATGATCTAACAGGTTTTCCCTTGAGGCAAACCTTATATCCCAAAACTCAGAAATTGGTTTTGCTTTCCCCCACACTTGCCCCTTATCAGACGAAGCCTTTCAGAGCAACGTAAACACTGAGTTTGCTGTCGATCCTGGCTAATCTCCAGCCGCCTAGTCTTCAGCTCCCTATCTGGCTGCTCATTAAAATTCCCAGGTGTCAGAATGTTTTCCAAACCCAAATCTTGAGTGCTCACAGAGAGAGGGAGTGAACCATCATCATTGCTAGGCCCAGCAGGGATATTCTCATGAGAAACTGCCCTTTGCACTGGGGCCTCTCTGTCATTGTCTGCCTGAAAATCATTGACCAAACCATCTCCATCTTGTACCTCAGCCTCGGCATCATCATTTCCCTCATCATTTCCCACATCAGGATCTTGAAACACAAACACAGGCTGATTCCCAACAGGGAGGGTTAATTTTGATGTTTTATACTGTTTTTTATCAATGGCATTGAATTGTTGCCAACACTATGAACCGCCCTGAGTCCCTGTCGGGGTTGAGAAGGGCAGTATGCAAATACCACAAACAAACAAAGAAATAAATACAATTCCTCATGTTGTGGTGACCCTCCCAACCATAACATTACTTTCGTTGCTACTTCATAACTGTGCTATTATTATAATATATTGTATACTCATATAATATTGATGGTATTGACAAGATAACACTAATAGTAACACAATATAATTGCATATTTCATATTACATGTAATATTACAAATAATATTACAGTATAGTGGTACAGTACAATATAGTAATACATAATACTAATATTGTGCTGTGCTAATAATATAATATATTATATGTACATATAACTTGTAAGCCGCTCTCAGTCCACTTTGGGGTGAGAAGGGCAGCATATAAGTGTAGTAAATAAATTAATATTTACATGACAATTCGTAACAATTGTAATATTACAGTGATGAAGTAGCAATGAAAATAAAGATATGGTTGGGGGTCACCACAACATGAGGAACTGTATTAAGCGGTCGCCGCATTAGGAAGGTTGAGAAACACTGCTCTAGGTCTTCTAGTGCTGTTTTATGGTGAACCTCATGCTGGAGGACCTAGAGATTCCTATATTTTCCCCACTTTCGCATGCCTCCTGCACCCTTAATCCTAGTGAATGTACGTTTAGCTGGAAGGGAAGAAGGCCTTTTTGTTGGCACCAGCTACCAGCATTAGGATGCTTTGGTGATTCTAGTGGTAGCAAACGGAGGAGAGAGGAGCTTTAGAGGTCAGTGGTGAGCTTCATTTGCCCAATTCTGCCCGATCAAGAAGTGTTCCCTCACTTCAAACTTTGAGGCTGAGGATGAGCCAGGATGAACCCAAAACGATGATGAATCCTTGAAGAAGGAATGGCTTCTGTGCCAGAAAACTTCTCTGCCTCCTATGTGGGTTGAATGAAAAGCAATGTCTCCACCGTTGTAACTCCTCAACAGATGGCAGTACAGGCACTGGCTTGTTCAGTAGCCTCTCCTGTACAGTTCCATTTTGGCGTGAAGCCTTAGCATTGAACGGACCTTCATAACTCCAAAGCAGGGAACCTCTCCAGTAAGACTACAGGGGTTGAATGAAAAGTAATGCCTCCATCTTTGTAACTCCTCAACAGATGGCAGTACTGGTATGCAGCAGGTACTGGCTTGTTCAGTAGACTCTCCTTTACAGTTCCATTTTGGTGGGAACTGTAAAGGAGAGTTCCATTTTGGTGGGGAGCCCCTGGTGGCGCAGTGGGTTAAACCCCTGTGCTGGCAGGACTGAAGACCGACAGGTCGCAGGTTCAACTCCGGGGAGAGGCGGATGAGCTCCCTCTATCGACTCCAGCTCCTCATGCAGGGACATGAGAGAAGCCTCCCACAAGGATGATAAAAACATCAAAATCATCCAGGCGTCCCCTGGACAATGTCTTTGCAGATGGCCAATTCTCTCACACCAGGTCACTCCTGACACGATTAAATAAGTAAAAATTTTTGGTGGGACGCCTAGGATCGAACGGTTGTATTGTTAAAGTGCGAAGTAAGGGACCCTGCGCAGACGGTCAGTCATTGTGACTTAAGCAACGTTCAGTCATTGAATTCTTGACAGTAGAAGGTGTCACCTCAACATCTTTAAACTTACTCTCCTTTGGATGACACCTTCTGCTGTCAAGAATTCAATGATTGCACGTTGCACATTGAGTGACCGTCTGCGCAGGGTCCCATACTTCGCACTTTAACAACACAACCGTTCGATGCTAAGGCTTCCCACCAAAATGGAACTGTAAAGGAGAGTCTACTTAACAAGCCAGTACCTGCTGCATACCAGTACTGCCGTCTTTTGAGGAGTTACAAAGGTGGAGGCATTACTTTTCATTCAACCCTCGTAGTCTTACTGGAGAGGTTCCCTGCTTTGGAATTGATTTCTGCGCTAGAGGCATTCTTCTCCCAAGTCTTCTTGGTGTGCCGTGTGCTTGCTGTGAGCATCCCATTGGCAAGATGAGAACCTTGCTCTTCCCCAGCTTCCTTTTCCGCCTTTCGTCTCTCTCAATCTCACAATCACCGGTCCGTCTTTGCTTTTTGTCGCAATAGTCTGTACGAGAACCCTTTCTCCCTCCTCCTTGCCGTTTCCGATGTCTCTGGGGACAGCTCTGACGAAGAAAAGGAGGATGACGAGGAGGAGGAGGAGGATTTTTCTGGTGTCCAGTTTGGGTCCAGGTATTTTGGCAACAAAGTGTGGTGGACGCTTGAGAAACACCTCCCACTACTAACACGCACTTGAGTCCTCTTTGCGCTCCTTCCAAAACACACACAAACATCATAACAGCTTCCTAAAGGCAATCCTAACCTGCATGCTGACACTCGTATTGTCTTTGTTTTCATACTGGGAGAACTGGCTGAGATTTTCCCCAGTTATGGGGAAAGGGTGGTGGAATGATAACTCCCATCTCGTTCAATAATCTGGGGAGAATGGGAATTGTAGTTCTGCAACACGTGTGGCTCTCAGACTGAGGAAAGGTTCCAGGACCCTCATAACAGACCACCTGCTATGAGGGTTGAATGAAAAGTAATGCCTCCTATGTAACTCCTCAACAGATGGCAGTACTGGTATGTGGCAGGTACTGGCTTGTTCAGTAGACTCTCCTCTATAGTTCCATTTTGGCAGGAAGCCTTAGCATTGAATGGACCTTTATAACTCCTCATCAGATGGCAGTACTGGTATGTGGCAGGTACTGGCTTGTTCAGTAGACTCTCCTCTACAGTTCCATTTTGGTGGGAAGCCTTAGCATTGAACGGCTGTCTTGTTAAAGTGCAAAGTAGGAGGGTTGAATGAAAAGTAATGCCTCCACTTTCATAACTCCTCAACAGATGGCAGAATTGGTATGCGGCAGGTACTGGCTTGTTCAGTAGACTCTCCTCTATTGTTCCATTTTGGCGGGAAGCCTTAGCATTGAACGACTGTGCTGTTAAAGTGCAAAGTACGAGGGTTGAATAAAAAGTCATGCTTCCACCTTCCTAACTCCTCAACAGATGGCAGTACTGGTATGTGGCAGGTACTGGCTTGTTCAGTAGACTCTCCTCTACAGTTCCATTTTGGTGGGAAGCCTTAGCATTGAACACTGTGTTTTTAAAGTGCAAAGTACGAGGGTTGAATGAAAAGTAATCCCTCCATCTTCATAAGTCCTCAAAAGATGGCAGTACTGGTATGCGGCAGGTACTGACTTGTTCAGTAGACTCTCCACTACAGTTCCATTTTGGTGGGAAGCCTTAGTATTGAATGGCTGTGTTGTTAAAGTGCAAAGTACGAGGGTTGAATGAAAAGTAATGCCTCCACCTTCATAAGTCCTCAACAGATGACAGTACCAGTATGCGGTAGGTACTGGCTTGTTCAGTAGACTCTATTCACCAGTTCCATTTTGATGGGAAGCCTTAGTATTGAACGGTTGTGTTGTTAAAGTGCGAAGTATGGAACGCTGCGCAGACAGGTTGACTGAAAAGTAATGCCTCCACCTTTGTAACTACTCAACAGATGACAGTGGCAGGTACTGACTTGTTCAGTAGACTCTCCTCTACAGTTTCATTTCGGTGGGAAGCCTTAGCATTGAACGGTTGTGTTGTTAAAGTGCGAAGTATGGAACCCTGCGCAGACAGTCGGTCAATGTGACTTAAGCAACGTGTAGTCTTTGAATTCTTGACAGCAGAAGGTGTCACCCCAAAGGAGATTTATCAGAGAATGAAAGCTGTTTATGGTGATTGTGTTGATTTGGGTACTGTGCGTTTTTGGTCGAGTAAGTTCAAAGATGTTGAGGTGACACCTTCTGCTAGGCATGATGTCTAATGATGAGGAATACAGGAGTTGTAGTCCAGCCTTTGGAGGGACACCTAAAATGAAATGGTGGGCCAAAGTCATCTTGTAAACCTTGAGTTTGACACGTGTTTTTAGGACGTTAGATTTGCACTTGAAGCATGAAACTCTCAGGTTGGACCAGTCCCAATAAATGCTTAAGAGAAAATGGGGAGGAAGAGAGACATGTATCCCACTGTGAGCTTGAAATACATCAGCGGTAAGAACTGTGTTGACATTCAGATGGAAACTAACACGCTTGTTGTGTGTATTGACCCCGCTCTGTGATGAGTCCTCTTACCTCCTCGGCCCTTCATGGATGGACGTCCGGTTTCCATGCAACGCCTGTGCACGCTTCTCTTCGAGTCTTGATTTCTTCTCCTTCTTGTCATCTTCTTTCCAAAGCGGAGGAGGCTCTGGAGGAGGAGGAGGAGGCGGCAGCATCTCCGACTCGTGCAGCGACCATTTCACTATCGAGACATGCAAGGAGACGGAGATGCTGAACTACCTCATTGAGTGCTTCGACCGGGTGGGGATTGAAGAGCGGAAAGCCCCAAAGGTAGTTCCTCCTTCATTAGCTTTTCTGACATTTTGCTGCTCCGTTCTTCCTCCTCAAAATGACTGTCCGGTGTTTCCATCAGATGTGTAGCCAGCCAATGGTGAGCCAGTTGCTGAGCAACATCCGATCCCAGTGCATTTCCCACGCTGCTTTGGTGCTCCAAGGGTCGCTCACACAACCGAGGTAAGTGGCTGGGTGTTTTTGTTGTCATCAAAAATACTAAATATTAAGTACCGTATATACTCAAGTATGAACCGACCCGAATATAAGCCGAGGTATCTAATTTTACCCCCGCCCCCAAAATTGGGGAAACGTATTGACTCAAGTATAAGTTGAGGGTGGGAAATGCAGCAGGTACTGATCAATTTCAAAATGAAAATAGATACCAATAAAATTAAATTAATTGAGGTATCAGTAGGTCAATATTTTTGAATATTTACATAAAACTGTAATTTAAGATAACTGTCCAACTCTGATGAAACCATTATTTCCATCATCTTCAATGTAAATGTGCTCATGTATCCTTGCAATAATAATAAAGAGAATAAGATAATTATTAATAAAAATACATTATTACATTTATTATTATTATTTATTAAAATAATGGAAATGTAGCCATAAGAGTTATAACAGAGTAAAATAATAAACGTAAATAATAAATGTAACAAATGTAATAAATGTCATAACAATAATAAAGTAAAATAATAAATATAATAATACTAAGAGTGAAATTATAAATGTATTAGAAATAATAATAATAACAGAGTAAAATAATAAATAACCTTGACTCGAGTATTAGCCGAGGGGGCTTTTTCAGCCTAAAAAAAGAGCTGAAAAACTAGGCTTATATATAGTAGGTACTTTTAATTATAAAAATATGAGTTTATTACTAAAAGGGTTCAATGGATGCAACAACTCAACAAAAGCTGCTGTTCAAAATATAATCAGGTGTGCCTGTAGTTTAGTAGCTGTCAGTCTGAGAGAAGCCTTTGTGAGAGAACGCCTCAGTGGGAGAATAGTGATTAAATATTGCAGGCTCTTTACAAAGGTGAGATTAAATGTATTTCCCTCAGAGCTGCTCAGAGGCAGAATTCCCTACTCCCAAAGACTATGCCCCTGAGGAGGAAAAGAAATAGAAACAACAGAACACATTTTATTGCAGTGCCTCACTGTGGGAGAAAGGCCTCAGAATGTGAGGTAGGCCTTGGTAGGAGAAGGGTTATGTGTGAAGCTCTAGTGTGAAGATAGAACTTTATATGTCTTATGAAAACCTTGTTTTTGGAAATAGTGCAACCATATTATTTTGCTACAAAGAAAAGTCTTCTAAGGAAGGGATAACATTGGTTTTTTGTTCTTTTATCACTTTGGCTACTGGTGCTTAGTCACACTGCTGTTGATAAGTTACTTCCATTTTGGACGCCTGCTCTCCCCTCCTTGTTTGGAGTCTCAGAAACAACCCTCCTCTTGGCTGAGAGGCCGGCCAATCACAGCAGAGGAGGGAGGGCTTTTGGTGGGAAGATTCGTCGAGCATGCCTGCTCTCCCCTCCTTGTTTGGAGTCTCAGAAAAAACCCTCCCCTTGGCTGAGAGGCCGGCCAATCACAGCAGAGGAGGAACGGCTTTTGGTGGGAAGATTTGCGTGAGCACGCCTGCTCTCCCCTCCTTGTTTGGAGTCTCAGAAACAGCCCTCCCCTCGGCTGAGAGGCCGGCCAATCACAGCAGAGGAGGAACGGCTTTTGGTGGGAAGATTTGCGTGAGCACGCCTGCTCTCCCCTCCTTGTTTGGAGTCTCAGAAACAGCCCTCCCCTCGGCTGAGAGGCCGATCAATCACAGCAGAGGAGGAACGGCTTTTGGTGGGAAGATTTGCGTGAGCACGCCTGCTCTCCCCTCCTTGTTTGGAGTCTCAGAAACAGCCCTCCCCTCGGCTGAGAGGCCGGCCAATCACAGCAGAGGAGGGACGGCTTTTGGTGGGAAGATTTGCGTGAGCACGCCTGCTCTCCCCTCCTTGTTTGGAGTCTCAGAAACAGCCCTCCCCTCGGCTGAGAGGCCGGCCAATCACAGCAGAGGAGGACGGCTTTTGGTGGGAAGATTTGCGTGAGCACGCCTGCTCTCCCCTCCTTGTTTGGAGTCTCAGAAACAGCCCTCCCCTCGGCTGAGAGGCCGGCCAATCACAGCAGAGGAGGAACGGCTTTTGGTGGGAAGATTTGCGTGAGCACGCCTGCTCTCCCCTCCTTGTTTGGAGTCTCAGAAACAGCCCTCCCCTCGGCTGAGAGGCCGGCCAATTACAGCAGAGGAGGGACGGCTTTTGGTGGGAAGATTCGCCGAGCATGCCTGCTCTCCCCTCCCCATTCGGAGTCTCAGAAACAGCCCTCCCCTCGGCTGAGAGGTCGGCCAATCACAGCAGAGGAGGGCTATGCCTTGAAGGGACACGCTGGCATGAGCATCCCTCCAGCCTTGCACACTCTCCCTCGCATGCACATGCGCACCATGCTGCCATGCGCCAAGCATGCCTGCTCTCCCCTCCTTATTGGAGTCTTAGAAACAGCCCTCCCCTTGGCTGAGAGGCTGGCCAATCACAGCAGAGGAGAGAGGGCCTTTGGTAGGAGGATTTGCTGGAAGCAAAGGACAGGCAGGGAGATCTTCAACCGTCTCTGCCAAAGCGATTCCTAGGGAAGACCATCAGAAATATATGTTTTCAGATGGCCTTTGGCAACCCCTCTGAAACTCCCTCAGGGGTCCCGACAGGTTGAGAAACGTTGCTTTAAAGGAAATCTTCCTCTCCGGAAGGTTTTTTTGTTTACTTCCTCCATTTTTGTTCCTCCTTTTGCCTACAAAGGTCGCTACAGCAGCAGTCGCTGCTAGTCCCATATATGCTCTGTCGGAATCTGCCTTTCGGCTTCATCCAAGAGCTGGTGAGAACGACCCATCAAGATGAAGAGGTCTTCAAGCAGGTCAGCGATATGTCTTCTCTTCCCAGCCCTCTTACTAGGAAAGCTTTTGCTGTTTAATCAACTTTTCCCATATTTTTATGACAGAACCAATTAGGAAATGGCATTTACAACACAGGAACCAAATCCGTGTTACATAGTGTTCTTGCTGCATGTTCAGTTATCAAATAAAAATAAAGAACACAGAATTCATTAATCCTCAGTTGTACAAACACACAAGGCTATTGGTTCTAGCTCCTCCATATGTATGTGTGTCTACTAAAATGGAGAAAGTAAGAAGTATGACACCCATTGTTTTCTTTTTCAAAACAGATATTTATCCCCATTTTACAAGGCCTGGCTCTTGCTTCGAAAGAATGTTCCCTCGATAGCGACAACTTTAAATACCCCCTAATGGTAAGTAGCATTTTTAAAAAAAATCATCTCTCTGTAATTGTCTGCTGGTAGCGAGCGCTTCACAAAGAGATTAAGCTGCTAAAGAGTATAATTTCTCCAGCGGTGTTGGGCATAGACATCCCGTGATAATGTGGCATGTCTCATTAAGAGCCACATCCACAGTTTTAATGTGGTGAGATGTGTTCCACACTGGGCATGCGTACTCAGCAGCAGAGTAGCCAAGTGCAAGGGCAGATGCCTTAATTGTGTCTGGTTGTGATCTCCAGGTTGTGTCCGCTTTCCTTTGATATTTTTTCCAGCACCCACTTTTTACTTGATAGTCAAGCAATGCTTCTGGTAAGTCAGAGCATGGTTCAGAGTGACTCCCAGGTATTTGGGTGTGCTGCAATGCTCCAGTGGGATTCCTTCCCAGGTAATCCTCAGAGCTCGGGATGCTTGTCTGTTCTTAAGGTAAAAAGCACATGTCTGTGTTTTAGATGGATTAGGGATCAGCTGGTTTTCCCTGTAATAGGCAATAAGAGCACCTAGATCTTTGGAGATCTAACCATCTCAAAGCTCCCTGCTTGAGTGGTGATGGCATGATCATCAGCGTAGATGAAGCTCTCTGTCCCTTCTGGCAGTGGCTGGTCATTTGTGTAGATGTTGAACATGGATGGAGCAAGCACGCTCCCCTGAGGCAGGCCGTTCTTCTGTTTCCGCCATCTGCTTCTCTGGCCCTGGAACTCAACAAAAAAGCTCCTGTTTTGTAGCAGATTTCCTATGAGGTGAGATGGACTAGGAATCAGTTGGCTTTCCCTGTAATGGGCAGTAAGAGCACCTAAAGCTTCAGAGAGCTTCTGTTCAACCATTTCAAAGCTCCCTGCTTGAGTGGTGATGGCACGATCGTCAGCATAGATGAAACTTTCTGTCCCTTCTGGTAGTAGCTGGTTGTCTGTGCCTTTAAGAAAGACCTAAAAACCTAAAAAGCTCTTTTGGCGTGCCTTTGACGAGTGAACACATATTCCCATGTCATGTCCATCCCAACTATAGTTCTGTCCTCATGATGCACTTTTCCTTGTCTTTAATAAAGGCTCAATCCCATTGTTCGTCCCTTCTGACCTCCCTATAGAGACATACTTATCTCACCCGGGGTTTTCTCAATCTTACTCTATGCATTTGGATTGTGGGACTACCAAGGGCTGCAAAAATGGACTTTAGGTACCGGAGTTGGAGAATCTGTTACTCAAGGGGAAAAAAAGAAAGAGAAAGGAATGAAACGTTGAATTATTTTTATTTCTTTTTGTTTCTATCCAGGCTTTAGGCGAACTCTGTGAAATCAAGTTTGGGAAGTCTCACCCCGCGTGTAGCTTGGTAAGTGGGAAACGGCTGCCAATCCCCTGTTTCTGTTTTGACTTGATTTGTTCTGGTTTGTGGTGTGTTGGAGTTTTTGTTTCTAATGATCAGGGTACTCTGGATGTTGGGCATGACAATGATGTTTCTGAGGTTCATGTATCGAATGATGTGTCTAATGGTGAGGTTGCTCTAGATGCAGAGAATGACAATGGGATTCCTGTTCAAAGTGTATTTTTGGATGAGAATGTTCCTGAAGGGTTTGGGAATGATATTATGGTTCCTGGAAGAGGCCCTGAATTGCTACCACAGAATTCCCAGGACGTTGAGCCTGAGAAAAGCTCGGCACCTGGGTCAGTTGCAGAAATCAATGAGCCAGTAGATAGAAGACATATTTTCAGTCAGCACAGGCAAACAAACCAATCTCAGGCGTTCTGCGAGGCTGAGAGAGAAATTGATAGCAGAGTCAAGGCTGAAACGAAATCCGTTCCTGGCCGCTTGGGACATAGAGTAGATTAGGGGATAAAAGTACCAAGTACAGAATCTGTAGTCAGACGAAGCAATGTTGGAATTGAGTCAAGACATCTTTCCTGGTCCTTGGAAGCCTTGCCTTGGATAGATTCATGTGTTAAGTGCCTTATTTGATTTCATGATACAAGTTTTGGAGTTTTACCTTGAAAGTTTCTGTATTTGTTTTTATGAACTCTGATGGACTAATTTCCTGGACTATTTGTTTCTGCTTATGTTTCTACCTAATTGGATTTACCTATTTGTGTGGGGTGTTTTTTTTTTTTTTTTACTGCTACTGCTTTTTAATTATCTTCAATAAACTGCTTTCATTTTTACTCAGCTGTGTGGTGTTTAAAGTCAGAGGGCTTTCCTGGCCTGGAGTGCAACATGGTGTTTCTAGGATGCCTCGGGGAAAATCTAAACAACCGATAACCCCCTTGGTTTCCTTTCTGATGTTTTCCTGTCTTCGCAGGTCGTCTCTTTGCCTCTCTGGCTGCCAAAGCCCCTGAGCCCTGGAACGGGCCGGGAACTACAAAGACTGTCCTACCTGGGGGCTTTCTTCAGTCTCTCCGTCTTTGCCGAAGACGATGTAAGTATAGATTAGGATCGGAAACTGAATATATCATCAGATAGTATGAGAAAAAATGTGAAATTTACCAAATCGGATAACTGGATCATCTAGTATTCTGTACGCAAAAAGTCGTTTTCCAGTTCTGCTTCTTTGGCTAAAGATGGAGGGATCAAACCTAATCCTCTTCTCTATCCAAAACAGCTTTCCCATCTTTTAGCACATGTTGTTGTTTATTTATTACAGTGTTCCCTCACTTATTGCTGGGGTTAGGTTCTAGGACCTCCCGCAATAAGTGAAAAACCGTGATGTAGAGATACTTTATTTATTTTAATATTTATACATTATTTTAGTAGTTATACACTATTTTAAGTCTTTATAAACTTGAAATAAAGTGAAGGAAAGGAAGGAAAGGCCCTTCAAGGCTGGAGGGAGGACTGAGGAGGGAAGGCACCCGCGAAACAGCGAAAATACCGCAATATATATTTTAAATTAATATTTTTTGAAACCCGTGAAACAGCGAGTCTGCAATAAGTGAACCGCGAAGTAGTGAGGGAACACTGTACTTATCAATTAATTATAAATCTCTTTCTTCCCAAGGCGGTGCACCTATTGCAAAGATTACAAACAGAATGTCAATGTTAAATCCAAATTATTATTATTTTGGCTTTATTGAAATTGTACACTCAAGAACGACTTCAAAAGCTACACAATGTAATTTAAAGCAAGACGTCGCTTGCTGTCCTACCTTTCGTCTTTGTTTTGGGCAGGTTTGAGACAGGCTCTAGGCCAGACATGGGCAAACTTTGGCTCTCTAGATGTTTTGGGCTTCATCTTTCACAATTCCTAGCAGCTGGTGGAAATTGAATTCCAAAACACTTGGAGGGAGGACCAAAGTTTGGCCATGGCTGCTCTACATCAGGTAAAGCAAACTGGGGACACAGGGCTGCATATGGGCCACTTTTTCCTCATTTTCCATAACCGAACACACTCCAAGTTTACTCTGGGAGAAAGAGAATATTATCCTCTGCAATGACTCCCAAAATCAAGTAATCTTATGTGGATTTATTCTTGTGTGTTTCACTAAGAAAGTAGTTCTCAACCTTCCCTTTAATGCAGTTCCTCATGTTGTGGAGACCCTCAACCATAACATTATTTTGGTTGCTACTTCATAACTGTAATTTCTCTGTTGTTATGAATCGTAATTTAAATATCTGATATATGGGATGTATTTTTTATTGTTACTTCTCTTTCTCCCGGGGATTCGGCTATGGAGGGGCCACTCCACCCCTCTTTTAAGTCCTGCCCTCCTCCTCCAGGCCTCCTCCCTAGGCCCCCCTCTCTACCTTCTCCCTTCTCACCTTCTCCTTCCTCTTCCCTCCAAAGCAAATCTCACCTCCGTCACTCCCATCTCTTCCTCCTAAAATGGCGGAGTGACATCACCACCTCCCTCTGGAGAAGAAGAAGAAGAAAAGGCCTCTGGGAAGTGGAGGGAGTGGGGAAAAATTAGTGGTTTCGATTCCTAAGACCACCAGAAATATGTGTTTTCCGATGGTCTTATGTGACCCCCCGTGAAAAGATCGTTCGACCCCCAAAGGAGTCGCGACCCAAAGGTTGAGGATCATTTCACTAAGAGGATGCTGGGTCATGTGTTTGAACACCTCCCTTAGATTCCCAAAGAAAGAAGTAACTGTAATGTTCTTTTTTGTTCATAACAACTACAAAATGAGAATTTCTGTGCTTTTGAGGAAATAGTGTCAATGTACCTGTGTCGCTTGTTGACTGGTTTGTCTTTTCCTTTCCTCCTGGCAGCCCAGAGTGGTTGAAAAGTATTTCTCGGGGCCTGCCATCACCCTGGAAAACACCCGGGTGGTCAGCCAGTCCTTGCAGCATTACCTGGAGTCTGCCAGGGTGAGTGTGCTGAAGGGAAGAAGCTTGTCCAAACTGTCTGCCAGTGAGAAAAATCATCGGTGTTAATTCTAATAGAACCATTTACCCGTATATATTCGAGTATAAGCCGACCCGAATATAAGCTGAGGCATCTAGTTTTAGCACAAAAAAACCCCTGGGAAAACGTATTGACTCAGAGTATTATTATTATTACTATATTATTATTGATGATGATGATGATGCTCAACCATGCTAAGCTCTAATCAACCTTCATTATTTAATTAATTAATTTATTTATGTACAACATTTATATGCCACCCTTCCTCATCCCAAGGGGGACTCAGAGTGGCTTACAAGCGGCTTACAAGATATATATATATATATACACACACACACACACACACACACACACACACGCACAATATATTATATTATTAGCTTATCACAATATCAGTATTACAAATTATTATTTTGCACTGGAGCCTCATGCTGTATGCTGCGTCTCCTCAGTTTCATCTTCCCATTTGTCTACCATTTCAGCAAGAGCTGTTCAAGATCCTCCATAGTCTCTTACTCAACGGAGAAACCCGAGAGGCCGCTCTGAGTTATATGGCTACCGTGGTCAACGTCAACATGAAGAAGGCCCAGATGCAGGTGAGGTCCTACCCATTGCTCCAGTACATAAATATTAATTTATTTACAACATTGATATGCTGCCCTTCTCACCCTGAAGGGGACTCAGAGCAGCTTACAAGATATATATCCATACAATGTATTATGTTATTAGCACAGTACAACATCAGTATTAAATATTACTATATTGTACTATACCATTTATTTATTTATTTATTTATTTATTATGACATTGATATGACGCCCTTCTCACCCCGAGGGGGACTCAGAGCAGCTTACAAGATATATATCCATACAATATATTATATTATTAGCACAGTACAACATCAGTATTAAATATTACTATATTATACTATACCTTTATTTATTTATGACATTGATATGCCACCCTTCTCACCCCGAAGGTGACTCAGAGCAGCTTACAAGATATATATCCATACAATATGTTATATTATTAGCAAAGTACAATATCAGTATTAAATATTACTATATTGTACTATACCAATATATTGTAATATTATTAGTAATATTGCATGTAATGTAAATATATAATTATAATATATTATTATTAGTATTATATTGCATTACATTGTAATATAAATATCTAAATATTTTATATATATATATATATATATATTATTATTATTATAAAAATCTAAATACTAGTTAGATCTCTGTCCAATTCCCCTATGGTTGCCATATCACTGCAGCGGACGTTGAGTTTGACTCATGTGGCCTAGACCTTTGTAGTTAGGCGGGTTCATTGTGGTGAAGGCTAACACTCTGAAAGACACACCTTTGAGGTTTCTGTATTTTGATGGTTCTGCCCATACTTGGCCTCTCAGACGGATGACCGGCTGGTGTCGACTGATGGCTTCATGCTCAACTTCCTGTGGGTCCTTCAGCAGCTCAGCACCAAGATCAAGCTGGAGACGGTTGACCCTTCCTACATCTTCCACCCTCGGTGCCGCATCGTGCTTCCAGCCGATGAAACTCGGGTGAAGGCCACCATGGAAGAGGTCGGCGGATGGGTGACGGAGCTGTGTGAGTCGCAGACCTATTCCCATCTTTGGCCACTTTGCTTTTGGTATCCATACAAAGAAAAGTTCAGGAATTGTTACGCAAATAGTGCCTCGGCCTGAATGGATTCCAATTGCAGGGAAAACAGATTCCACCATAACATTAGGAAGAAGTCCCTCACAGTAAGAATTGCTGTTTGATAGTGGGATATTTTGCCCTGTAGTTTCCTTCTCTGGATGGCCATCTGTGAGGAGGGCTTTGATTGTGTTTTTCCTGTGTGGCAGAGGGGAGTTGGAGTGGGTGGCCCTTGGGGAATCTTCCAACTTTAGGATTCAACAACAAAATAACAATAATATAATATTTGATGATGATGGAATCTTCTCCAGAGGTTTTTCAGTAGAGCTGGATGGCCATCTGTGAGGAGGGCTTTGATTGTGCTTTTCCTGTGTGGCAGAGGGGAGTTGGAATGGATGGCCCTTGGGGAATCTTCCAATTTTAGGATTCAACAACAACAACAACAATATAATCTTTGATGATGATGATGATGATGGAGTCTCCTCTTCTCTAGTGATTTTTCAGCAGAGCTGGGTGGCCATCTGTCAGGAGGACTCTGATTGTGCTTTTCCTGTGTGGCAAAAGGGAGATGGACTGGATGGCCCTTGGGGACTCTTCCAACTCTTAAGACTCAATAATAATCATCATCATAATATTTATTTATGATGATAGAGTTTCCTACTCTGGAGGCTTCTCAGCAGAGCTGGATGGCCATCTGTCTGGAGGGCTTTGATTGTGCTTATCCTGCCTTGATGAAGGGAGATGGACTGGATGGCCCTTGGGAACTCTTCCAACTCTAGGATTCAATAATAATAATCTTCTCTAGAGGCTTCTCAGCAGAGTTGGATGGCCATCTGTGAGGAGGGCTTTGATTGTGCTTTTCATGTGTGGCAGAGGGGAGTTGGAGTGGATGGCCCTTGAGGAGTCTTCCAACTCTAGGATTCAACAATAACAACAATAATCTTGGATGAAGATGATGTGGTCTCCTTCTCTGGAGGTTTTTAAGCAGAGGCTGGGTGGCCATCTGTCAGGAGGGCTTTGATTGTGCTTTTCCTGCATGGCAAAAGGGAGTTGGAGTGGATGGCCCTTGGGGACTCTTCCAACTCTAGGATTCAATAATAATAATAATAATAATAATAATATTTTTTATGAGGATGATGTGGTCTCCTCTGGAGGTTTTTCAGCAGAGGCTGGGTGGCCATCTGTCAGGAGGGCTCTGATTGTGCTTTTCCTGTGTGGCAAAAGGGAGATGGACTGGATGGCCCTTGGGGACTCTTCCAACTCTAGGATTCAATAATAATAATCTTTATTATGATGGAGTTTCCTTCTCAGAGGCTTCTCAGCAGAGCTGGATGGTCATCTGTCAGGAGGGCTTTGACTGTGCTTTTAGAATGGGATTGGACTGGATGGCTCTTGGGGAGGTTTTTAAGCAGAGGCTGGGTGGTCATCTGTCAGGAGGGCTTTGATGGTGCTTTTCCTGCCTGGCTGAAGGGAGATGGCCTGAATGGCCCTTGGGGACTCTTTCAACTCTAAGATTCAATAATAATAATAATAATAATAATAATAATAATAATAATAATAATTTTTGATGAGGATGATGTGGTCTCCTTGTCTGGAGGTTTTTAAGCAGAGGCTGGGTGGCATCTGTCAGGAGGGCTTTGATGGTGCTTTTTCTGCCTGGCTGAAGGGGGATGGCCTGGATGGCCCTTGGGGACTCTTCCAACTCTAAGATTCAATAATAATAATAATAATAATAATAATAATATTATTATTATTATTATTATTATTGATGAGGATGATGTGGTCTCCTTCTCTGGAGGTTTTTCAGCAGAGGCTGGGTGGCCATCTTTCTGGAGGGATTTGATTGTGCTTTTCCTGCATTGGCAAAAGGGAGGTCGACTGGATGGCCCTTGGGAGTCCCTTCCAGGTCTAACATTCTATGGATGTTCCTCCTTCCGTCTCTCCAGTGATCAAAGATAAACATCCTTCAGGAGTTCCCAACCTTTGGGTCTCCAGGCATTTTGGACTTCAACTCCCAGAAGTCCCAGCCAGTTTACCAGCTGTTAGGAATTGTGGGAGCTGAAGTCCAAAACACCCGGAGGCCCAAAGGTTGAGAACCACTTCTGCAAAGCACTGAGAAGGTGCTGGGCTCCATATATGTGTAAGAATGCATCTTGACTTTTTGTTGTTATTTTCTCCCTCCAGCGAGAGACCTGTCTCTTTTCTCCGAGCCCAAATTCCCGACCGAGTGCTTCTTCCTGACCCTCCACGCGCACCATCTTTCCATCCTCCCAAGCTGCCGCCGATACATCCGCAGACTGAGGGCCATCCGGGAGCTGAACAGGTAAACATGACCAGAATGGGTGACGCCTGGCTCGAGAGCAGTACGTGTGAAAAAGATCTTGGAGTCCTCGTGGACAACAAGTTAAACATGAGCCAACAATGTGATGTGGCGGCAAAAAAAGCCAATGGGATTTTGGCCTGCATCAATAGGAGCCTAGTGTCTAGATCTAAGGAAGTAATGCTACCCCTCTATTCTGCTTTGGTTAGACCACATCTGGAATATTGTGTCCAATTCTGGGCACCACAATTCAAGAGAGATATTGACAAGCTGGAATGTGTCCAGAGGAGGGCGACTAAAATGATCAAGGGTCTGGATAACAAGCCCTATGAGGAGCGGCTTAAGGAGCTGGGCATGTTTAGCCTGAAGAAGAGAGGGCTGAGAGGGGATATGATAGCCATGTATAAATATGTGAGAGGAAGCCACAGGGAGGAGGGAGCAAGCTTGTTTTCTGCTTCCTTGGAGACTAGGACGCGGAACAATGGCTTCAAACTACAAGAGAGGAGATTCCATCTGACATGAGGAAGAACTTCCTGACTGTGAGAGCCGTTCAGCAGTGGAACTCTCTGCCCGGAGTGTGGTGGAGGCTCCTTCTTTGGAAGCTTTTAAACAGAGCTGGATGGCCATCTGTCAGGGGTGATTTGAATGCAATATTCCTGCTTCTTGGCAGAATGGGGTTGGACTGGATGGCCCATGAGGTCTCTTCCAACTCTTTGATTCTATGATTCTATGATTCTATGAAATATATTTTAGTTTATTTATTTATTTGCAACATTGATATGCCGCCTTTCTCACCCTGAAGGGAACTCAGAGCGGCTTACAAGATATATACCCATACAATATATTATGTTATTAGCATAGAGCAATATCAGTATTAAATATTATTATATTGTACTGTACCATTATATTGCAATATAATATAATGAATGAAGACTGAAGAGAGGGGCCAGGAAGGCAGTTCCATCTTGTCTCCTGCACTGTGCTTATAATAAATATAATATAATATATTGTATATATTTATTTATTATTTATTTATTTACTTTGCTTGTATACCGCAGTTTCTCAGCCTAACCGGCGACTCAACGCGGTTTACAACAAGGGTAAAATCAATCACAATATACAATTTAAAACACAAAAGCACAATATACAGTATTACACAACAATAACAACACAGTGCTTCTCATCACTAGAATCATGATCCAAATTCGTCGTCCATATTTCCATTCCTGTAATCGTCACATTCATTATATACATATAATATTGATAATATTATAATGTAATACATTATAATATTAATATTAATGTAATACATTATACTACTACTACTACTAATATAATATTATAATTATATATTTTATATTAAATGTTATATTACTAATAATATTACAGTATAATGTTATAGTACAATATAATATTACATGTAATATTATTAATAATATTATTTATTTGTTAATTTATGATATTTATATGCCGCCCTTCTCACCCCGAAGGGGACTCAGAGCGGCTTACAAGTAAAAAGTAAATACATTATATTATATTATTATCATAGCACAATATTAATATTATATATTACATTGTACTATAACATTGTACTGTAATATTATTAGCAATATTACATTTAATATAAAATATACAAATACTGTATATACTCGAGTATAAGCCTAGTTTTTCAGTCATTTTTTTAGGTTGAAAAAGTCTCCCCCAGCTTATACTCGAGTCAATGTTATTTATTATTTTACTTTGTTGATGTTATTATTATTATTACATTTATTATTTCCTTATTGGTGTTATTATTACATTTATTTTACTCTATTTATTATTGTTATTGTTACATTTATTATTTTACTGTATTGTTATTGTTACATTTATTATTTTATTCTATTATTACTGTTGTTATTACATTCCATTATTTTACTATTATTATTATTATTATTATTATTATTTTACTCTATTTATTATTATTGGAGGACATGTAAGCATATTCACTTTGAAGAAGGTTAGAATAATGGTGTAATCAGAGTTGGACAGTCTTATCTGGAATTACAGTTTTATGTAAATATTCAAAAACATTTAACCTAATGCTGCCTAAATTAATATAATGTTATTGGTATCTATTTTTATTTTGAAATTTGCCAGTAGCTACTGCATTTCCCACCCTTGGCTTATACTCGAGTCAATAAATTTTCCCAGTTTTTTGTGGTAAAATTAGGTGGCTCGGCTTCTATTCGGGTGGGCTTATACTCGAGTATATATGGTATAATATTATATTATTAGTAGTATTATATTGCATTACATTATAATATTATAAATATTATATGTAGATACAATATATTATATTATTAGCATAGCACAGGAGACAAGGTGGAATATATGTGTGTGTGTATATATATATGTATTTAAATTCCTTTCTATATTTTCTATGTGTTTTTTCTTTTGCGTATAGGACTGTGGAGGATTTGAAAAACAACGAAAGCCAGTGGAAGGATTCCCCTCTGGCCACCAGGCATCGAGAAATGCTGAAACGCTGCAAAACGCAGCTCAAGGTTGGTAGTGTTTTCATGCGGAGGGTGAATTTGTAGTATCGGAGTCTGTTCTTTATTTGTGCTTTCGCTGACCTTTTGTGTAATTTCCTCCTGCAGAAGCTGGTGCGGTGTAAAGCCTGTGCTGATGCCGGCCTCTTGGACGAGAACTTCTTGCGGAGGTGCCTCAATTTCTACAGCATTGTGATCCAGCTCTTGCTCCGGATCCTGGACCCTGCCTACCCTGAGTGAGTGCCTCTCGCAAGTCTACGGCCTGTTTTTAATTACCAATCATCTAAAGCTCACCATGACTTTTGGGCTAATAATAGTAACAATAATAAATTATATCATTATTATTTCAATAATTATTAATTATATTATTAATTACATTTATTATTTTAATAATTGAAGAGAAACAACTGGAAAAGCTGACACAATATGAGGATTCAAAGATCAAACTGCAAAGACTCTGGCACAAGCCAGTCAAGGTGGTCCCAGTGGTGATCGGCACACTGGGTGCAGTGCCTAAAGACCTTGGCCTGCACTTAAACACAATCGACGCTGACAAAATTACCATCTGCCAGCTGCAAAAGGCCACTTTACTGAGATCTGCATGCATTATTTGCCGATACATCACACCATCCTAGACACTTGGGAAGTGTCCGACATGTGATCCAATACAAAAGCCAGGATAGCGATATTGTTTGCTGTGTACTAACCTTGTTATGTGTCAAATGATGATAATAATAATAATAATAATAATATACGAAGTGACCGCTTTCTCCCCTCTTCCTGTCTACAGCATCAAGCTGCCTTTAAACCTAGACGTCCCGAAAGTGTTTGCGGCGTTGCCTGAGTTCTACGTGGAGGATGTCGCGGAGTTCTTGTTTTTTATTGTTCAGTAAGTTTCAATTTTGAAAAAGTCCCATTTTGAGAGAAGCCTTTGCTCTTCTGTAAGGTGCGTAAAGGGCAGATAAGATTTTAGTATGTGTGCGAGGAAAGACATTGCATCTTTTTTGAACTGTATGAAAACTAGAAAACCATGGTGTTGAAACTCGACCACACAGATTTATAGTCCTCATCAAGGAAATAGATAAGCAGATGAATTTGCTGTAGGGAAAAAAACCCTTCCTTCCCCATTTCCCCCTGTGTCTAACTCTGTCTATTCTCTCCTACTGTATCTATTTGTTAGACTGATACTTCTGTCTTTATTAAAAGTTTCCAACCACATGGTAAGCTTCTGAGTCTTCCATTGTGTTGTTCTCCTGTGAGCATAGAGAGAGACAAGATGCCTTCAAAGAAGCGACTTGAGAAACTGCAAGTCGCTTCTGGTGGGAGAGAATTGGCCGTCTGGAGGGACGTTGCCCAGGGAACTCATGTCCCCGCATGGGAAGCTGGAGCTGACAGGCAGGAGCTCACCCCGTCTCACAAATTAGAATTGGTGACCTTCAGGTCTGCAGTTCAGCTGGCACAAGGGTGTAACCCAATGCACCACCGCGGTTCCCTACTTTAGAAATGCCTTTTCCTTTTTGAAGTTACCCAACACGCAGGAAAGAGAGAAACCCAGAAGCGGGATCCTGGGATAAAACTTAGCGCTAAAGTCGCCCCTGAGTTTCACAATGCATCCCCCACAATGTTGACAAACAATGATGGGAGACGTTACCTGAGTCCCCCTCGGGGTGAGAAAAGCAGTATACAAATACTGTAAATAATAATAATTTTCTTTCCAGATATTCGCCTCAGGTACTTTATGAGCCCTGCACTCAGGACGTGGTGACCTTCCTCGTGGTGATGCTCTGCAACCAGAACTACATCCGGAACCCCTATTTGGTGGCCAAACTGGTGGAGGTGATGTTCATGACCAACCCGGCCGTCCAACCACGGACGCAGAAGTTCTTCGAGATGATCGAGAACCACCCGCTCTCCACCAAGTTGCTGGTGCCCTCCCTGATGAAGTTCTACACAGGTCAGCCCTTGGCAACAACAACAACAACCACAACAACAACAACAATTATCTTAAAAGGCCAGAGAAGATAATTTAAAAGTTCAATTTCCTATATTGAAACATAGAGCAGAGTCCTTAGAGCTCTGGCATGATCATCAGCATAGATGAAATTCTCAGTCCCTTCTGGTAGTGGCTGATCATTTGTGTAAATGTTAAACATTGATGTTGCAAGCTGGTTTTCCTTGTAATAGGCAGTAAGAGCACCTAAAGCTTCAGAGAGCCTCTGTTCAACCATTTCAAAGTTCCCTACTTGGGTGGTGATGGCACGATCGTCAGCATAGATTAAACTCTCTGTCCCTTCTGGCAGTGGCTGTTCATTTGTGTAAATGTTAAGCATTGATGGAGCAATCACGCTCCCTTGAAGCGGGCCCTTCTTCTGTTTTCGCCATCTGCTTCTCCGGCCCTGGAACTCAACAAAAAAGCTCCTGTTTTGTATCATATTTCCTATGAAGTGGGCGAGGTGGTTGTCCTTTGTGATATTATACAGTTTTTTTCAGGAGGAGAAAATTTCCTTCATTGCTAAGAGTTGAAGAGTAAATAAAAATAAAATATGGATGGAAGACAGACTTAATACAAGGGGGGAAAATACAAGATTTTTTTTTTGTCATATCAGGAACGACTTGAGAAACTCCAAGTCGCTTCTGGTGTGAGAGAATTGGCTGTCTGCAAGGACGTTGCCCAGAGGACGCCTGGATGCTTTGATGTTTTTGCAATCCTTGTGGGAGGCTTCTCTCATGTCCCCGCATGAGGAGCTGGAGCTGATAGAGGGAGCTCATCCGCGCGTTCCCCAGATTCAAACCTGCGACCTGTCGGTCTTCAGTCCTGTCTTGAATATAGATTGGGGAGACTCTAGAAATGTAGTCAAAGTAATCTAGTTTCAACGGAAAAAGCTGGGGTATGTTAAGACAGGAAATCTGGAGTGAAATTATAAAAATTAAATTTCTGTGAAAATGTTTACATATGTGTTTTCGAAGGCTTTCATGGCTTTCTGTGAGTTTTCCGGGCTGTACGACCATGTTCCCGAAGCATTCTCTCCTGACGTTTCACCTGCATATAAACTCCATTTTCCTAATTTCCAACACAACCCTACAACCCTATAGATGCAGGCGAAATGTCAGGAGGGAATGCTTCTGGACATGGTCATACAGCCCAGAAAATACACAACAACCCAATATTTACATAATTTGTGCTTCCCTATAGATCTAATTTTAATGAACTATTCTTTTCTCTTCCTTCCTTCCCCAGATGTTGAGCACACCGGGGCCACCAGTGAATTCTACGACAAATTCACAATCCGCTACCATATCAGCACCATCTTCAAAAGTCTCTGGCAGAACATCGCTCACCATGGCACCTTCATGGAGGAGTTCAAGTGAGTCATGACGATGCACCTGCTCTCCGTTATGCATTTCCCTCCTCGATTCTTTCTTTGCAAGAGGGGGAAACGAGGCTAAGAAATAAACCATTATCTTGGCTTGACTCTCCCAGGGAGTTACCCAAGTTCTGCCTCTTTGTTAGGAACCATCTTAACTGTTGTGTCTTCTTTTTTTCCCATCGAACCTCCAGCTCAGGCAAGCAGTTTGTCCGTTATATTAACATGTTGATCAACGACACGACGTTCCTGCTGGACGAGAGTTTGGAGTCCCTGAAGCGTATCCACGAAGTGCAGGAGGAGATGAGGAACAAGGAACACTGGGACCTGTTGCCCCGGGTGAGGAAGAACTCCTTCGTCCTCCTCGCTCTCGAGATCCTTAGCCGAAAGAGCCCACAAGAATGTCCCTCATCTTGGTTGCACTATTTAACTACTGAGAAGGATTCATGGATGGATACATAGACAGAAAGATGGATGGATGGATAGGTGGATGGATGGATGGATGCATGGATTGATGGATGGCGGATAGATAGATGCATGGGTGGATGAATGGACAGATGGATGCATGGATTGGTGGATGGACGGATAGATAGATGCATGTGTGGATGGATGGATCAGTGGATAGAAGGATGGATAGATAGATGCATGGATGGATGGATGGATAGCGAGAAAGATGCATGAATTGATGGATGGATGGATGGATGGAGATACAGTGGTATATAAGCAAAGTAAATAAATAAATAAATAAATAAATAGACGCATGGATGGATGGATAGATAGAGAGAGAGAAATGCATGGTGGTTGGATGGATGGATGGATGGATGGATGGATGGATGGATGGATGGATGGATGGATGGATGGATAGATAGATAGATAGATAGATAGATAGATAGATAGATAGATAGATAGATAGATAGATAGATAGCCAGCCGGATGGATGGATGGATGGATGGACGGACGGACGGACGGACGGACGGACAGATGCATGGATGGATGGATGGATGGATAGACAGAAAGATGCATGAATTGATGGATGGATGGATGGATAGAAAGATGCATAAATTGATAGATGGATGGATGGATAGACAGAGAGAGATGCATGATGGTTAGATAGATGGATGGATGCATAGATTGATAGCCAGGCGATCCGGCCCCAAATGGCTTTGTCTATTATGCGAGGAACACAAGAATCCCCATCTTGACATCCAAGCAATGGAGGTGCGACTATTATGTGATGAAATATGTTACTTACAAACTGTGCTCTACGAATAGTTCTCTTGTTCAAGCGAAGACAGTGATTAGACCATAGAGGTAGATGTGGCTCAAAGGCAATGCTTTTATTGCTTGCGCATTCAATGTGGGGCAGAGATAGTTGAAGTATACCTTACTCCCCTCCCCCCCCTCCTCTTACTCTCTGTAGGACCAGCAACAGGCCCGACAGTCTCAGCTGGTGCAGGACGAACGGGTGTCGCGCTCTTATCTGGCCCTGGCCACCGAAACCGTGGACATGTTCCATATCCTCACGAAGCAAGTTCAGAAGCCTTTCCTCAGACCTGTGAGTAGACACTCAAGAGGCCTTGAATTGCTTGGGTCACCATGCTCCGACTTGATGCAGGGTGAACTACAACTTCCATCATGTGGAGTCAGGCCCTCAAACTCCTCCACTATGTTTAGTTGCTGATTATTAGTTCTGCTCTGTTTGTTGTGCAGACAGAGTTGAAAAGAATAGGAAAGGATTAAGGGAGAGGCAGTGGGCGAGGTCATGCAAATTCCACACCAGTGGAGAGAGTCGGAAACACTGGGATTGCTGATTAGTTCTGCTCTGTTTGTTGTGCGGATAGAGTTGGAAAGAGTAGGAAAGGGTTAAGGGAGAGGCAGTGGGCAGGGTCATGCAAATTCTACACCACTGGAGAGAGTCAGGAACACTGGGATTGCTGATTAGTTCTGCTCTGTTTGTTGTGCAGATAGAGTTGGAAAGAGTAGGAAAGGATGAAGGGAGAGGCAGTGTGTGGGGTCATACAAATTCCACACCAATGGAGAGAGTCAGAAACACTGGGATGTCTGTGGTGGAGGAAAAACAGAAAATCTAGGATAAAATTATCCCCGAATGAATGTCTTCACTTGATGTTTATGGAGAACATCGGCAGGGCTTTTGCATATGTTTACAGTGCTCTCTGTAACATGCAATGCCATTGGATGAAGGGTCTTTGCTGTCTCCTGAGTGGTGGGAGCCATAGCTGTTTGTGAAGGCAGGAGCATCTCAGCCACACACACACATACATATTTTCACTTATATTCTGTGTATAGATCTCTGAAAGTAGGTTGAGCTCAGCATCCAACCTGTGCAGAACAAGGAGATAAATTGGCTTTGTGTCTCTCAAGCGCTTTGCATTCGTGGCAAACGCAATCCCTCCTCCTCCGTGATCTTTCCAGGAACTTGGGCCGCGCCTGGCCGCGATGCTGAACTTCAACCTCCAGCAGTTGTGTGGCCCCAAGTGCCGCGACCTGAAGGTCGAGAACCCTGAGAAGTACGGCTTCGAACCAAAGAAACTCCTGGACCAACTGACGGACATCTACCTGCAGCTGGACTGTGCCCGCTTCGCAAAACAAATAGCCGACGACCAGGTGAGGAAAAGAATTGCAGGGGGAAAAATCCACCGTTGGTTTGTTTACAGGTGGGTATTATATGGAATTCACGGAAGGGAGGAAAAATGGCTCCAGCTCCCAAAAGCAGGCAGATTCTCCCTTGACTCACAAAAATGTCACATAATTTGCGGTCCCAAGGAAAGTGCTGGGCAGAGCGCCATGAACGTTGCCTCCTCTCCTCTGCAAATCCTTACGCCGCTGGAATTAAAATGTCACCTAACTTCCACCAGATGTTGGATGTTTTGATTTCAATGTTTCAAGGCTTTTGTTGCACTCCAGACCAGGAAATGGCCCCTCTGACTATAAACACACCACACGTTGAGTGAAGGAACAATCTTTTTCATTAAAGCTTAGCAAAAAAGCCAGTAGAAATAAATGCTTGTAAAGATAGATAAGATTCCTAAAAGCAATAAGGCCCAGACAACATATTGCAGCAAAAGAAAACCAAAAACATAAGCAACAAGCAACATCATGAATACATTAACAATATTACTATTATATAGCACTAAAAGTAATAGCACGAGTAGTAATAATAGCAATAGTAGTAATAATAATTTATTAATATACTAGCCATCCTCTGCCACGTGTTGCTGTGGCCCAGTCTGTGTATATGTGTTTTGTGTGTATATGTATTTATGTATATGTGTATATATATGGTTTTGCACATGTGTTGTAATGTATTTTTGTTTTTTGGCTTTTTAAGTCTCTTCTGCTGTGTTTTCCAGTATTTTTATGAGCAATGGTCACTCGTTGGCCTGACAGGTGTCTTTGTGTTCAAATTTGGTGTCAATTCGCCCACTGGTTTTTGAGTTCTGTTAATCCCACAAACGAACATTACATTTCTATTTATATAGACTAGCTGTTCCCTGCCACGCGTTGCTGTGGCCCACATGGGGGTTCTGTGTGGGAGGCTTGGCCCAATTCTATTGTTGGCGGGATTCAGAATGCTCTGTGATTGTAGGTGAACTATAAATCCCAGCAACTACGACTCCCAAATGTCAAGATTCTATTTTCCCTAAACTCCACCAGTGTTCACATTTGGGCATACTGAGTATTCGTGTAGAGTTTGGTCCAGATCCATCATTGTTTGAGTCCACAGTGATTTCTGAATGTAGGTAAACTATAACTCCCAAACTCAATGTCAATGCCCACCAAACTCTTGTAGTGTTTTCTGTTGGTCATGTGAGTTCTGTTTCCCAAGATTGGTTCAATTCCATCATTGGTGGAGCTCAGAATGCTCTTTGATTGTAGGTGAACTATAAATCCCAGCAACTACAACTCCCAAATGACAAAAATCAATTGTTTTTGAGTGAAGGACATATATTGGGTTGTTAGGTGTCTTGTGTCCAAATTTGGTGTCAATTCGCCCAGGGGGTTTTGAGTTCTGTTAATCCCACAAACGAACATTACCTTTTTATTTATATAGATTACAACATGGTTGAAACAGAGAGATAAAACACAACACAATTAAAATGCATATAGCAAGATACAAAGAGTAATAATAATGCAGTAATAATAAGAGGAAGGCACAGAGAGACCCCTTTCAACAAAACCCTGTGATAGGTTTGGCTGAGTGTCGCCATTCAGTCAGAAGAGGCACAAAGCCACAGGGCAACAAGGGGCCACTTTGAGCTCTAGTTGCCTCCCTGGTAATTCGAACCCAGAACCGGCCTTTCCCTGGTGGGTTCTGATCATCTTTTGGTTTTGCAGAGATCCTACAGCAAGGAGCTCTTTGAGGAGGTGATTTCAAAGATGAGGAAAGCTGGCATCAAGTCGACCATAGCGATTGAGAAATTCAAGCTGCTGGCCGAGAAGGTCGAGGAGATCGTGGCCAAGAACGCCAGGGCCGAAATCGACTACAGCGATGCTCCAGATGAGTTCAGAGGCAAGTCGCTTTCTTTTAGCCGGAATAGGGTGTGTGTTCTGTTTACAAATTTCTCTTCCCCATGGTTTTAAGTTTTGCAAAGTTGGCTTTGAAGTCTGCCATTGAATCCTTCCTTTCCTTCAGATCCGCTCATGGACACGCTGATGACGGACCCGGTGAGGTTGCCCTCGGGGACCATCATGGACCGATCTATCATCCTCCGGCATCTCCTGAACTCCTCCACGGATCCCTTCAACCGGCAAACGCTAACGGAGAACATGCTGGAACCAGGTAGGGAGCGGCGTTAGGGGAAAATGATAGATAGATAGATAGATAGATAGATAGATAGATAGATAGATAGATAGATAGATAGATAGATAGGGAGGAATGCCATTTGCAGCCTTTCCAGCTTGGCTGACGTGTGCCCTTTGTTGTTCCTTCCAGTCCCAGAGCTGAAAGAGCAGATCCAAGCTTGGATGCGAGACAAGCAGAACTCTGACAATTGAGCCCCCCCTCAAATGGCGGAGCAGCCGTGGCGCGGCCCCCTGGGAAAAGCAGGGCATGATGGGCCGGAAAGCGATTGGAGGGGGGTGCCTTTCCGCCGAGGAGGCCGTGGGACTGCTTTGGAAGCGGAAGCTCACTCAGTGCCTGCTGCCGCCAAGGAATCTGGACGCTTGCGGACAAAAGAGGAGAAGAACAGCGGCAAAAAAAAAAACAAAAAAACGAAACCCTAAAAAAGGATAACAAAAAAAAAATAATCACATACAAACCAACCGCAGCTTAATTCTTGTACATATATTTAAGTGATTAAAAAAAACCCAAACCCATTGTGGGGGGCGGGGCTAAGTTTTAGGAAGTTGTTTGGAAGCAAACTCCTCCGGTGTCTCCTAACGTTGGGGTTTGTCCGGCGGAAATCTTTCTTTCTTCTTTTTCATTTTAGCGAAAGGCCTCTACGGATCAGGGCAGCGAACCCTTGTTGTGTCCTGTCCCACCCGTTCCCCCTGTTTAATATCTCCGTTAATTTGATTGTGATTGAAAACTCGGAACATTTTTGCTGCTAAAGCCGTCCCCAGCCCTTTGTTTTCTCCCCCGTTCCCTTTTTGCACCTCCTCTTTTTCTCCCTTGTTCCCCTTTCGTACCGCCTCTTTCCTCCCCCGTTTCTCTTTCATATCACCTCTTTTCTCCCCGTTCCTCTTTTGTACCGCCTTTTTTCTCTCCATTCCCCTTTCGCGCCGCCTCTTTTCTCCCCCGTTCCCCTTCCATATCGCCTCTTTTCTCCCTGTTACTCTTTCGTACTGCTTCTTTTCTCTCCATTCCTCTTCTGCGCCACCTCTTTTCTCCGTTCCCCTTTCGTACCACCTCTTTTCTCCCCTGTTCCCCTTTCATACCGCCTCTTTTCTCCGCCGTTCCCCTTTCGAACCGCTTCTTTTCTCCCCCGTTCCTCTTTCGTACCACTTCTTTTCTCCCCGTTCCTCTTTCGCACCGCCTCTTTTCTTCCCCATTTCCCTTTCCCTTTCGTACTGCGTTTCTCCCTGTTCCTCTTTCATACTGCTTCTTTTCTCCGTTCCCCTTTTGCACGGCCTCTTTTCTCCCCCGTTCCCCTTTCGCACCGCCTCCTTTTCTTTTCCCAATATGAAGAAAACCTTCCCGCGATTACAAAACTACGAGCCCTTCTCTGACCCCAAGAGAACATAATCTTGAACAGATGAGTGTGCCTGCAACAAGGGGGGATTTTGGGGAGGGAGGGAGATATCATATTTTTCTATTAAGCATATTCATTTATTTTTTATTTGGTAGGCCGTACTTGAGAAGAGTGGCTCGCGATAGCAAACGCCTCTCCGTTTTTGTTTTGGGCGGACGGGATTTCGAGTTGTCCCTCTTTTGCCTCTTTCTGAGATTCACATTTTGGGTGGACTTTTCTTTTCTCGTCAAAGCCTTGAAATGTACTCAAAACATCTGCGGAATCCCAGGGCTTCAAAAAGGTATATATATGGAGACAGGGAGCTATACATATATATATATAAATATAAGATCCTCTTAAAGCCGGAGATCCTTATAAGGGTCCGGAGTCATTTTTCTTCTTCTCGGCGCCTACCAATCCGAAAGGGCAGGGGATGCATTTTTACGTTGCGCGTACCACGTTTTGTATCCATGGCTTGGCCTTACCAAAGCAAAAAAAAGGGTGCAGAAAAAAGTAAAATAAAAAATAGAATAAAAAAATAATAATACGTAGATTTGCTTTTTTTAAAGAAAAATAAATAAATAGAAACTCTATACAAAAAAAAAAGACGGAAACATTTTTGTATGACCGACTGCCCCCTGCTTTAATGATACTTGAATTTCGTTTTTAAAACAAAGGATTTGAAACCACCGTGTTTTAAAATGATAATAATAATTAAGCCTGAAAAGAAAATCTGTTTTTTTTTCCTTTCTTTTCTTTTCTTTTTCCACTGACAGCGTCCTCTGTTCAGTTCCTGATTCTTGAACAATAATAAATGGTGATACGCATTCACAAGACTCTTCCTGCCTGGGTCGTTCTTCATTGTCTTTTATTGGGATGAGAGACCGCTGGGTGACCACTAGTCGAATTGTTCACTTTGAGGTCGTATCAGCCGAAGCTGGGAGTAAACACTCCTGACTATTGTCGCTTCTACCAGGGCTGACATTGGGAGAGAAGAAGCAGGAGAATCCCAAGCTGCGAACACACACTTTCAGGGGAGTGTGTGTCAGAAATATTAAATATTAACTAGGCATTTTTAATTACAAAAAGCACTGGAAGGGTTAAATGGATGTAATGACTCAGCAGAAGCTGCAGTTTAATATAGGCAGGTGTGCCTGAAGCTTAGTAGCCCTCAGTCTGGGAGAGGTCTCTGTGGGAGAAGGGCCTCAGTGTGTTAGTAGGCCTCTATGAGAAGGCCTCAGTGTGAGGTAGACCTCTGTATGAGAAGGCTCCAGTGTTAGTTTGCCTCAGTGGGAGAAAGGCTTCAGTGTGAGGTAGGCCTCTGTATGAGAAGGCCTCCGTGTTAGTTTGCCTCACTAGGAGAAAGGCCTCAGTGTGAGGTAGGCCTCAGTATGAGAAGGCCTCAGTGTTAGTTTGCCTCACTAGGAGAAAGGCCTCAGTGTGAGGTAGGCCTCAGTATGAGAAGGCTCCAGTGTTAGTTTGCCTCAGTGGGAGAAAGGCTTCAGTGTGAGGTAGGCCTCTGTATGAGAAGGTTCCAGTGTTAGTTTGCCTCACTAGGAGAAAGGCCTCAGTGTGAGGTAGGCCTCTGTATGAGAAGGCTCCAGTGTTAGTTTGCCTCACTAGGAGAAAGGCCTCAGTGTGAGGTAGGCCTCAGTATGAGAAGGCCTCAGTGTTAGTTTGCTTCACTGGGAGAAAGGCCTCAGTGTGAGGTAGGCCTCAGTATGAGAAGGCTCCAGTGTTAGTTCGCCTCAGTGGGAGAAAGGCCTCAGTGTGAGGTAGGCCTCAGTATGAGAAGGCTCCAGTGTTAGTTTGCCTCAGTGGGAGAAAGGCTTCAGTGTGAGGTAGGCCTCTGTATGAGAAGGCCTCAGTGTTAGTTTGCCTCACTAGGAGAAAGGCCTCAGTGTGAGGTAGGCCTCAGTATGAGAAGGCCTCAGTGTTAGTTTGCCTCACTAGGAGAAAGGCCTCAGTGTGAGGTAGGCCTCAGTATGAGAAGGTTCCAGTGTTAGTTCGCCTCAGTGGGAGAAAGGCCTCAGTGTGAGGTAGGCCTCAGTGTTAGTAGGCCATAGTATGAGAAGGCCTCAGTGGGAGAAAGGCCTCAGTGTGAGGTAGACCTCTGTATGAGAAGGCTCCAGTGTTAGTTTGCCTCAGTGGGAGAAAGGCTTCAGTGTGAGGTAGGCCTCTGTATGAGAAGGCCTCAGTGTTAGTTTGCCTCACTAGGAGAAAGGCCTCAGTGTTAGTTTGCTTCACTGGGAGAAAGGCCTCAGTGTGAGGTAGGCCTCAGTATGAGAAGGCTCCAGTGTTAGTTCGCCTCAGTGGGAGAAAGGCCTCAGTGTGAGGTAGGCCTCAGTATGAGAAGGCTCCAGTGTTAGTTCGCCTCAGTGTGAGGTAGGCCTCAGTATGAGAAGGCCTCAGTGTTAGTTTGCTTCACTGGAAGAAAGGCCTCAGTGTGAGGTAGGCCTCAGTATGAGAAGGCCTCAGTGTTAGTTTGCTTCACTGGGAGAAAGGCCTCAGTGTGAGGTAGGCCTCAGTATGAGAAGGCTCCAGTGTTAGTTCACCTCAGTGGGAGAAAGGCCTCAGTGTGAGGTAGGCCTCAGTGTTAGTAGGCCATAGTATGAGAAGGCCTCAGTGGGAGAAAGGCCTCAGTGTTAGTAGGCCTCAATATGAGAACGCCTCAGTTTCAGCCTGCCATCAACTCCACTGGACTGTCCATGTTGCCTGAATGTCTGATCACACACACACATATATATAGATATACACAAATATACTCGCACAAAGTGTGAGTAGGCCTCAGTAATAACAATAATAGGAATTGTGGGAGTTGCAGTCCGAAAGAGCTGGAGGGCCCAAACTGGCCCAGTCCTGACTGCGATGCCTCCAAACTCTGTCTCAGGCCCGGCTCCGCCTGCGGAAGGTTCTGTCAGGTGTTGTTCGTCCTTCAGGCGTATTCCTGCCTTTCTCCTCATGATACACCACTGAGGTCTCCCTCCGCGCTGCTGGCTGGTTAAAGAGTCCCAGAATAGAACCTTTTGGATGAGAACCCCTTTTTCGAACGCTGATTGGCTGCCTCATCGGAGTCCGTCCCACCCCCCGGCGTTTTCCCTTCACTGGATTGGACTAGAGCTGAGCCGTGATTGACAGATGACGTTTCCTCCCCCTTTTTTTTTTTCGATTGACACTGATTCCTCACCTATGAGATGCCTCGATTGGGAAGCAGCGCGAGGCCTGATTGGGCAGCGGGGCGAAAGGGGCGGGGCTTGGCTGTGGGGACGGGTGCCGACTCCTCTTCTCCTCAGTAGCGCTCCTGTCAGGCGTGAGGGTCGGGGCTCCCGCTCGTCTCGCCTGTGGTAGCCCTTCGCCGGCTCGGGGGGCTCCGTCATGGGCCTCGGCGGCTTTTACCCCGCTTCCCGCTCCCGGAGGAGATGGTGATTTAATCCGGTCTCGAACCGCGCTGAGGTAAAAAGGGGAGCGGGCGAAGGCGGTGGGAGGGGGGCTGTGAGGGGGAGCCGTCACGTGACCCGACTCCAGCGGAGGCGGGGCCAGGAGCAGTGGGCGGGGCCTGCGCTCGGAGACTCCTCCCCTTTCCCCTCCCTTTGGCTCTTCCTGCATCCATCCATCCATCCTCAATACCCAGAATGGGGGGATATTGGGGGTGAGTCCAGGCTAGGAAGGGATACAGAGAAGAAGGCCCAGTTCCTTCCCATTGGCCCATTTGTGAAAACAATAAATAATAAAATAAATAAAATTTAAAATAATAAAATAAATAAAATAATAAAATAAATACAATTTAAAATAAATAATAAATAAAATAAAAGGAGAATCCAAAAAGGGGGGAAAATGGTTGTCATTTTTGCAAAACCTAGGCTTACATCCTAATGTATCTGGAGTGTGGATAATCTTCCTGAAGGGAATATGTGGAATATTGTGTCCAATTCTGGGCACCACAATTCAAGAGAGATATTGACTCTAAGCTGGAATGTGTCCAGAGGAGAGCGACTAAAATGATAAAAGGTCTGGAGAACAAGCCCTATGAGGAGCGGCTTAAGGAGC